TTCAAGAAACCTAAAATGTTGTTGTGGTATAAGCTTTCAGATATCAAAGTAGGTGATCCTAAAGGTTCCCCTAATCTTTAAAAGCCAGTCAAGTCTGCTTGGAGAGTTTCTATTAAGACTGATTGTAAACAGAATTTGGTTCTCCCACACAAATTTACTCACAGGAAAGGAATTTTGACATAACTAAAAAGTTTTTCCTTTTATAGACCAGTGGATGTAGGATTCTTCTGTCATCTGCCTTTGCTACTCCCCTGAAATTATTTTCATGACACATTTCGTTCAGACTATCTTCTTGTGGTCCCTCGTAGGAACTGCAGCCTGCCTCAGATCTCTCCATCCACGGTTAAACTCCCCATACCCACTCCATGATGCACTATGTCCTACGATGGGAGAACCATGAGAGGTGGTGTACATCATGACACAAGCTGAATTCAGGCTGTGTGGAAGAGGTTTTGATGATACATTTCAGTGCCTTTCTGACTTACCATGTTTGTACTTTAAAGGTCAAAATTGGAGGAATGAAAAGTCCTGTTTTTCTCATCTAGTTCTGTCTAGGTGTTCATGTGGTTAGGTCAAGCTTTATAATGCTTCCATGAGACTTAAAGGGTAATTGTCTTAGTCACAGTTAAGAAAAAACCAGGTATTTTCTTGAGCACACAACTTTGTATCTCTGCTAGTTATTTTAAGTGTGGGGCCTGAATTTTTACATTGAGTGGTCTTTTAAGATCTTTTAAAATGGCTAAAGGTAACATTGAGGTACACTGCTATCTTCATCTTTCCCAAGTAATTCCTACCTCTACCATTATTTGCAGGTTTGTGTTTGGTCTGTTCTTCCATGCTGGCAGTTGCACTGCCTTTGCAGCCTTTCGCAGTCCAGTGCTTTATTTTCTTTATCCTTGGGTGGGTTTTCATGTCTAGCTTGTCTGCCAGGTTACAGCACAAGAGTTTTACTTTTTGTGTATTGTGTTATGTGCATAGGGAGCATTTTTCACCAATCCTGTATCTAACAAACTTCTGTGTACTTAAGGATGGTTATATATGGTACTCTGTTTTGCCTTAGCAGTCTCATTTCTCTGTCATTCTCTGGAGATCCTGATGGACCATTTAACCTTAATTGAACTAATAAACTAAAACTTTCCTGATTAAATTGGAAGAATTTTGCAGGGTTCGCTGTCTAACTGGATTAACACTTGTTTAAACACAAGGCAAAACAGAATTACTTCTTTCAGCAGGCTTGTGCTAACATAAAATACTTGTGGTGATACATTTTAGCTTTGGGAGCTTTTCAGCATAACGCTGGAAGATAACTGACTCTGACACTAAGTTAGTTCTGAAGAGGTCCCTGATGATGTGTAAGCATGCTACGCAGCAGCTACAGATTATTTTAGCAATGATAATTTGATTGTAGGAAAATATATTTCTTGTAGAAAAGATATGCAATCTAATTTTTATTTTCAGTGTTCATAAAACATAAATGTTACCTCTCATAAGAGTGTTTTTTATAAATCCAGGTTGACCTCAGTATTAAGTAAGCTTGCTGCATTTTTCTGTGGATGATATGTTTGGAAGTGTGCTGCAGGAAGTTTTTACCTGTAGACACATGCTAAGAAAAATATTTTACTGATACCTAAAACCTCAGAGACTTGAATGCAGGTAAAACAGGTCTAGGTTTTTAACTATAATAGTTAAGGAGACTGGAGCTGTCATAAGTAATGACTTCTGAAATCTGTGGCTCAGCATTGCTCTATACCTCTAGAGTCTTTTGATTTACAGTAGACCTGACTGCAAATGATGAAAATGTCATTTAAAATATGAACAGGGCCCTGCCTTCTACAGACCCATCCAAAATTAGCTCATGATTAATCTACAAAAACCTCATAAAGCCCACATCCTTGCTTATTATTTGGAGCAATGCTTGTTTGCATCAGGTTGTGGTATGACCTGTTTTGCATAGTGAAGTGTGTAGCTGAAAGAACGGAAATCAAAGGTCTTAATAGGATTGATTTTGTAAGCCATTTGTTTTTTAGAGGAGATGGATGAGTGCGTTGAACTACCTATGTTATTTAAAACTGGCCTTGAAATAATTACATGGCTGATTCAGTCATGTGGGACAAATTGCAGTTTTAATCTTTCATGTTATTACCAGCATTTGTAAAGTATCAGGACACTGTAGGAATTAAGATGAACTCTGCCAGCTTTAGAAGCTGCCGTAAGGACATAAGAATTTTTGCCTATGCTCTAATATAATTTTCTGCTGTATTGAAGACATTCTGTATCAAGTTTTTATGGTGTGTTTAAAAGGTGGGGCAACTTGTGCAAAGGCGAGGCTCTCATGATGCACGTAATTTCATTTTGTGGTATGGAAGTATTTAGAAATCATGGTGATGTTTGCTGAACTGTACTATTTGCTAAATGCAAATAACTCTATCAAACTGTATAGACTGCCTTTTTGTTCCACTGTTTTTAATCTGGTTTAGTATTTCTGGTTTTTGTCACATGCACTTGGCTATCTATTCCTTGCACAGTTTTTCATTTTTCTTAAGGAAGTCTAATGGACTGTGCAGAGACCATAGGCATTAGTAGACTTACTCTTATGATTAACTGCACCTGTTCCTGCAGTTGTGGCCTATTGAGAAATTGTTGAGACGTGAAAAAGAATATCTCCAGTGCATTTGGAGTCTGTGTCAGATCTTGTCAAGACCATTATTAGGTGCACTTGTCCTGTTGATTTATTGTATTTTTAAACCTGTCTTTAAGTTAGCGTCACTGCAAAGCTGAAACAATGGCCTGATTTTGGTTACCTCATACACTGGTGTCAGCCAGGAGTGAGCTGTATTGACGTAAGGGAAGTTCAGGTGTGTAAAAGCAGTGTGAAAGGAGAATCTCATTCAGAGTATTACACCACTGTAGTCTGAATATGATTTTCTCTGGCATTTCCCTCTGATCCACTTGTGGATGGCTGTACAGAGTGAGAGCAAAGATTCATCTAGCTCTTTTACTGTTTTTAAGATTGTCTGTTATTTGAAACGTCATGAAAGGCATTAAGAAACTGGGCAGTTATGGAGCGATCTTTTCCTTTTTGTATCTTTGCAGCTACTGAAGGCTGATCAGACTTTCTGAGGTAGAAATTTTTCTCATAAGAGAAAGAGTACAGCTGTTTAGGCAGCTGTAATAGCCAAAAGCTCCTTCTTATGTGGGACCAGTATTTGCTATGACAGCATTTTCTAGCCTTGTTAATTTTCCAGGGCCTCCTTGGCTGCTGGTGTGGGTTTTCTGGTAGGCTCCAGTGCCTTTTGGGGGTCACCCTACACGGTGTGTTGAGTGCAGGTAGGGCCAGGGCTTGGTTTAAACTGCTGGTCTTGGGGTTTATAGAGCATCCCTGACTGCTGTACATTATAACTGAAGCAAAACCTGTTCTGAGGAGGAGTTTCCTAAGGTGGGATGGCATTGGATGTAGCCATTCCTTGGCTTCTCTCAGAGTTTTTCTTCTCGTGCTTGTAACTCTGCTTTAGGAAGGATTTGGACATCTGTGTTCTTTGGCTATTAAGCCAGAATTGTTTCAGCTTCAGAGAGTATTTGAGGAACAGTCTTGGGATGATGACTGTGAAAGAGAGGAGGGAAATAGAGGAAAATGACCTATGTGTGCAGATTTTTGTCACATGGATTCAGAGGGGTGGGTGATTTGCTTATCCAAGTCCTACTTCGGTTTGAAGTCAGTGGCCTGTTTATAGTGCATGTGTAAAACCATTACATATACTTACATGCAAGATGGGAAATCCAACTGCCTGGTCCATAGCTATCAGAGAAGTTGCTTTGTCATAGGAAGCCACTGCAAGCTCTAAGTGTGACATCTATTAAGTTCTTGGAATATACTGGTTTTAAACACTGCCAGGTTTGAACTTAAGCATAAAATAAAACAAAACAGGCTGTGGCTGAATTGCTCTGTCTATGTGAGCTTTTTCTCCTTAAGGAACTGCATAGACAAGCCTGAGGTCTTGTTTCCTCAGGTTCTGCCTTCACATCCATGCAATGCCAAGGCCTGTACTCTGAAGACAGTGTACATTTCAGATTTAAACAGTTCTCACTGGCTGTTCCAAGTTGTACATGGATCAGAATCAGGCTGTATTCCTTTATAATAGTTAAATGTCATACAAAATACTTTAATCTGTTAAAAATTTTCAGACAAATTTGTGGCTACTTTAGATAGACCTACTTAGAAAAGCAGAAAAACAAATTTGAGATGCAGATGACGAGTCAAGTATTTGGATGTCATCTGAGAGCTGATAACTATATACACGTTCTTAACCTGTCACAAATACACAGTTCTACAGTGAAACGATCTCCTGCTTGGTTTACCCACATGATAATGAGTTAAAATCATACAGGGAAGTCTCTGCATGAAGTTCACTAGCAATTAGTTCTCCTTCACAGGTGAAAGCCAAGACCCTAAGTAATAAGGATGAATCTAAGAAAATATTTCAGAATTCCATAATACATTATCTTTCTCTTAACTTTACTTAGTTGATTTAAACACCATGATCCATCATTTTCCTACAGACATCAATTACCTTCCATTTTATTCCTGTCATGTAAACCGTATCCCAAAACACTAGACGCAAATTGTGATATGTGGTGTTACGATGATAAGAGTCAAAAGGATACCAGTTTATTACTTGTAGTGGCTTTAAATTATTTTTACATTTACCCATATTTCTTATGTTTCCTTGTTCATATTGATTGTCCATATTTCTTGCCAAACAGGCTGCTTTTGCTTTGAGATTCCATTTCAGAGCTAGTTTTGCCTTCCTTCAGACTGCCTCCTCCTCATTCATCATCCCATTTGCAATGTCTTTAGTGCAGCCCATCAAGGGTAGGCATTTTCAAAAAGCTTTTTTTCTTTCTTAGCTTTAATGCCTAATTAAATAGATGGTTGCTAAGAGATTGTGGAAAACATCATTAAGAGGGTCTAATTTGATTTTTTCTTTACCTTCCATGCACAGGTTTCAGATCAGAATTTATGAGTAAATGGGATAGCAGCATCCCAAAACATTCCTGAGCTGAGATTGTGACAATGGACGGAATACCAGGAGATGCAGAGGAGGCAGGACTGGAGAACAAGACCCAGAACTAACTGTGTTGGGGAAAGCACAAGAGTTCTTTCAGATTTGTGATCTGGAAGGCAAAGGCTTCGTCACTCGTCAAGACATGCAGGTAAAACAAAATTGGTTGTGTGAAATGCACAATAAGAGAAGCTCCTAATGCCCTTAATGAGTTGAAACAGATTAATTTAGAGTTAAAAGTGTTATCACCCTCCTCATAACTTTAAACAGATACATGGAATTTAAAATAATATATTTGAAGTCTTACATAATGCCTAAATTTTTTTTCCAGTCAAAGCAAAAAAAAAAAAGTGGAAAATCAAAGTAAATGAAGTTTAAAAAAATTCCCTGGGAATTTAATTCCCTTCTCATCGAAAAAGTTGAAACACCAGTAAATTCATTACTTTGCAGTTTGCCATAGTGTCATGAATGTATTCAGTCCATCAATTTTATCCTTCTATATTTTCAGTAAAATTGTGTAAATAAAGTCTTTCACTTTGGTTTCACTGCTCGACTATGGTGAACTCTCAGCTGGATCACATAGAAATGTAGGAAGTATAGAGGAATAGTATTTTTAGCATAATTCAGTACTTGCAGTAATCTTAGCTCTTTGTGTTTAATTTGTTTCAGGATCCAAAATCAGATTTGCTGAAAATGTTGACAAAAAAAGCAACTATATATAACAAAATCTTTTGAAAATGTGATTGGGTGCGTACTGCAGAACTGATAAGATGATTTGAATCAGTATGTGGCAGAAAACAAGTATATACTCACGAGTGACGTGCAAATCATAATTTAATTGTGTTAATCCATTTCTACTTCAGTACTTACAGATAAAATAGAATTGAGGATTGGGAACAAAATGAATTACTTGCAAACAACTATTGAAGAAAGCAAGTAATGTAAAATTTAGAAACCTTCCATGTCCTCAGAAACAAAGTTGTGTCTGTATATAGGAAACAATTTTAACTATCTATGTTGGAAGAGCAAAAACTTTAGTTAAAAAAAAAAAAAGGAAAAAATCTAAGTAAACTGCTCAGATTATCAGCTTTCAAGAGGTTTCTTTGGTTTCTGTGGAGTTTTGTGTTGCTAAGTTTTCAGATGACCTTTGTTAATTATCCAAAGTCAAAAAAAGAGATTCTTGCTGTGCTGTAGGCTTTACAAATCTACATTATCTCATTGAAGTAACTGAACAGAAACAAATATATTGCCAATGGTAATTTTTGGTGAAACCAGACCCACGGAGAATTTAATAGATTATAATTTTATTGTCTTTCCAAAAACTGGATGGCATATATTTTTACCTAGTGGAAGACTCATATATGTGTATAAATACTTTTAATACCTGTTTTCTCAAGGAATGTGAAATTGTTCATTTCTGTTTGATTCTGGGTTTTATGCTTGGAGGCCTGATAAAGTTATACTTCAGGTTCTAAAGATGCAGTAGAAAAAGGATTGCAAAGAACAGATGAAGTACATCTCTTCTATTTCATCATGAGTGCTTGTTTACTATGTCTGACAACTTCAGTATGTATGTAAGTGTATGCAAGTTCATTTAAATGCAAAAATAAAGGTGCTCAGGGCACTTGAGGTGATGTTTCTTTATGCCTGCTTTTATTTCCTGTACTTTTCATGGTGTTTACTCCCTACAGAAAAGATGTAAATCAATAAAGTAAATAAATTTTTCTTTAAAAAGTACTAATTGTTCATCACATTTGCATTGTGCCGTTAGGTAGTTCTGTACTGCTTACTATTAATGAAGCTTTACTTCCAATACAGGATGCTGACATTAATCTTTTCAGTCTTTAGTCTTGTGATACAAGTGTGATTTTCAACAGAGTGTTGAGTATCTGATATCCACTTAATTTCAATGGACTAAATTTTGCAAAGTTTTCTAATGTGTCTATAATATAGTAATTATACTAAAGATTTACTTCTCCCTGATTATATCTTACTATTTATTGTGAGCGTATGTTAATACTGATATTTTTTTTAATTTTTTCCTTCCGTTTCAAAATAGCAAATATACTCAACTTTCAAACAAACTCGAGGTTTTCTGAAATTTCAAGAAAGCATATTCTACCTGAGACTTGAAACCACAACTTCATCCTTTGGGCCTTGAGGTTGTAATGAATAAAGAGAATTAGTGTTGTAAAGTGTATATAGCAGAACTGAGTTCAGATCTTGCTCTTAGCTATTTGATCTCTGTCTTTTTATTTAGCAGAGTAAAAGCTTGGTATTTTCAGATAATTAAAATGTAGATGTCATGAAAACCTGGAGGACATTTGGTGGCAATGCAGATAGTTTCTTTTGAAGTTCCAGTGATATCTCTGAATGTTTTATTTTTTTTTTTTCTAAAGTTTTCAAGAGCCTCATATTTAAAGGATTTTACAGTAACCTGAAATGAGCAAATAAACAAAAACACAATTATGAGACCAAGAACATTTCCTTTTCCTAACAACAGCAAAAATTTAATTATTTAATTAAGAATAAAAACAAGATGTTGGGAAAACATTGATTCAGTGTTAGTAACCATGGTAAGAGTGGCCATTGCTTCAGTTCCTCAAAGTCTGTAAATTATCCACAGGGAATTTAATGGAACATTCCTCAAAATCTATTATTTTCATATACTTTCCCAAGAAAATAGATGTAATTGTGGTGTTTTCTATTGTAAAATTAGTGTAATTCACATCAGAATCTGAGTGCTGCATTAGGGCACTCCAGCTGTATTTGGAGAAGTGTGTATTTGCCGGTCAGGTTTGCAGAAAGATCCACAAGCCATTGTACTGGAATAGCAAGTGGGTCTGTGCTGATGGCATGGTCAGAGAAGGACAACCAGCTCTCAAGTACTTCTTCAGCAAAAGAAGTAGTGGGGGCACAGTTTCTGTTTTTCTAAGTGTAAAAAGAGTAATTTGTCTGAAGCACCTCCTCCCTCATCAGTGCGTGTAGGCTGTAAAACTTAAAATGGAAGCTCATTTTTAGAAGTTTCCCTTTAGACCTAAGAGATTAAAATCCAAAACTTTGGGAAGATGGCTGTGTTTAAGTAAGAAACTGGTGACCAGATATATTGCTGATGAAATAAATTTTCTTTGTTTTTATGGAAGCAGGCAGCAATACACAATCCTGCTCAGAAATCTCTTTGTGACTGTTTCAGACAGTTCTGTGGTTTAGAAACTGTTGATTTAATTTCTCAAGACCACCTTGGAATTCCTTTACTGCTCTTCCTTCAGCTCATACAGTCCATTGCAGCCTTCATTGCAGCCAGGGAAATCCTGGTTAATGTACTCAGCCAATTCTTTTCTTTCCTATATGGCTTAGTATATTGAATAGTCTTTTCTATTGTACCTGGATTAAAGGAGAAACTTTCTTTGGCCCTAAATTGCTTCCCCACAGTGGAACAGTTCAAGGGTTTTAATCTGATAAACTTTATCAACTGACTAGCTTGCAATTTTAGTCTGTTTTATATACAACAGCAGTTCGAGGGGGGATTAAAAGCTTAACTAATAAAGTAGAGGACTTCACTGATGTGTATACTGCTTTTTAAGCTGTTTTTTTAATCTTCCTATTACTTGCTCCCACTGGAGATCCTTGCTGTTTTAGTTGTTTGCCATTCTAGTTCCTCTTATTTCTGGGAAATCTGTCTACACTGTCAAAAGAATTGGTGTAAACTCATTAGGATCAGTTTTACAGATTTTTTTCTTTTTTCTTTTATGCCTGTCTTTAGATTATCAGGGAAAAAATGTGACTTTGTGGAGATGGTTTCATAAAGTTATGTCTTTGGTGTAAGCATGCTGCATTTCAGAAGTAGACAGTCATAAACTACATTTAACTCGGTACAGGATCAGAAGGTCCTTGGTCTTTGGACCATGCAGCTTTCTTAACTTTGTTTTATTTATTTGTTTGTTTATGTAGTTACTTTCAAAATTACATATTTTGAAGCAGCTTTAGTTAGGACAGTATATCCTCTATAATGTAGTCATCTGGAGAGTCTCTTCCTTGACCTCATGATGTGGAAGGAACTAGGCATACAGTTCTGCTGCCAAGTTTGTCCAGTAGCTTGATAAATCAAGGCATTTCACCAGGATGCTGAGTCTCCTCTTCCCTTTGTGACTGGAATTTCTGTCACAGGGAGCTGGTTCTCACTGCCTTGTCATAATGGATTCATAAAGGCTAATAAAGAAGTTATTAAAGCAAATGTCCCTCAGTTGATCTTTACTCTGTAATGTGTTTGGATTTACACTCGGGGAAACAAAGGACCTATCCTTCTGTATTATCGGTATTCTGTAGAATCTAGTGTTCCTCTTATTCTGTAGTAATGGATGAAGTTGCTGTATGTTTTTTCATTTCAGAGACTGCATCCTGAGTTACCTCTTAGCCTGGAAGAGCTTGAAAAAGTTTTTGTCACATTGGATGCTGATGGCAATGGCTCACTTACCCCAAAGGAGTTCATCACAGGACTCAGTGAGTTTTGGAAAGCATGTCTCCTGTACTGAGCTTTATTCATGTTCTTCAGTAAAGAAGCATTTTGTTTTAATAGTACACTTAATAATGCACACGGGGAGCCAGACTATTCCCTAGATATAGCAGATATATGTAGCAAATGATGAAGTGGTCAGATAGTGTGAATAAATAAACAAAGGGTTCCAGGGTCTTTCTCTCATGTGTACAATGGCAGGCCATGACATAATATGAGACAAATGATATAATCATCTGAATTGCAACTGTTTTAAGCTGTGGAGTAGATCTATGTGCAATATTTTTGAAGGTTTACCTTGATGGGGGAGCGGGAGGGGGGAAATCTTGTGTTTTATTTCAATCAGGTAGTAAGACCTGAAAGATAATTAAGATTATCTCTAAGATTATTGTAAGACAATGTTAAAAATGTGTTAATACCACTGTCCTTACAGCTGTGGAGATGCTTTCTACAACAAATTAATTCTTCAAGTAATGTTAATTTATTTCAAAACAAAACAGGATGAGGCACTTATTACTGCATAATAGGAGCTGATAAGTTCTTTGTAATTGCCTGTTTTGCAACAGCACTCTTACTGTCATGTTCTCTGTGTTTGTCACAGGGTTGTTTTCTCCCCAGCTGTGACATTCCAGATAAGATGACAGTGTTAGGGAGACTGTGTTCAGTTGTTTATGCAAAATCAATTTTGTGCTTAAATTTTAGCATTTGCTCTAGAAAATGAAGCGTCTTCTATGCGGGAATTGAAACAATAAATCTCAATTTAAATACTATATATTTATACTATTTATTTATAGTATTTATATAATATTATATAATACAATATTAGGTCCAGGAAATAGGACCTTCATTTTTGCTTTCAAATCACCAGTTGTTTGAAATCTTAATTCTCTTAATCCACCTCTTCCATTGTAGAGCTAGATCAAGTATCCTAATAGAGTATGGTTTAATCTCAAAATTGCCATTATTAAAAAATGAAATAACTGATTACTGCTTTACTTTTCACAAGTAAATTATACATATTTCTTAGGTTAAATGAAGATTATTTTCATAAGTATTCCCTGCAAAACCAAAACTGTTTATTAAGTGAGGTTGTAAGTGGCTCCCATCTACAGCAGCTCCAGATCCTGGAGATTACTTCTGCCCAACTGCTGGAGCCCAGTCCGGAGAACAAGGTGGATGTGGCCACTGCTCTCCTGTTCACAGGTTCAGCTGGCAGTGAAGATAAACGTGTATCCCAGAGGCACCCACACGTGGACACTCACAAGCACACAAAGGACATGGTCACAGCACATGTGTATAGGATTGGCAAAAGACATAAGGACAGACAGTGTAAAGCATGGTACATTTTAACCTTCTACACAGCATTCACAGGTGTTTTCCAGGCTAGGTAGTCATATATTTGGCTAGGTGATGATGTTGGTATTCCTAGTAGAAGCAGAAGCTCTACTAGGTATAGGCTGCTATAGAAAGGTAGAGTGTGGAGAAAGCAGAGTAGTGTCTGGATAAAACTTGTACTGCACCAATTATTATGGGAGAATCCTGTTCATATTTGTGTAAGCAGTGATAAATCTGAAATTTACTGTAGCCTTTCTTTGCAACATATTCTATTCTGTTGTCAACATTCTGTGCTGGGTGCTATGAGAAAAAATGCAAGATGGTGTTAATAAGACCATAAAACCACACCATATTTCTGTTTCCTTGTGTCTGTGGTAACTTCTGTACTGGTGTTTAGGACATAACAAAAATCCTCTGCATGTCCCCTTTGCCTAGATTCTTTAAAAATTTTGACTTACAAATATTCAAATAAAATAGCTGGCACATTTAGAACTTGATGGAATGTATCTGGTCTGCCTCAACCGAGCACAAGTGTATTGATTATTCATGTGGCAGTTTCACTTCTGCATCCTCACTGTACAACTACTGTTAATAAAATGTAGCTTTTTCTGTATGCAATTTATATAGGAATTTGAAATGTGCCTTTGGTCATGCATTAAAAAGAATGTTAAATTTAATTTGATGTACATTTTATCAGTAGCGATGCTGTGGTTATTTTAGATTCCAAACATCTATTTTAACTTATCAAGAAATGTGGCCACGAATTTATGAAGTGCTTGTTACTACAATTTATGTTTTCTTTTTTTTGTATGGAGATACGAATTTTTTCATTAGGTTTTTGAATTTTGAGGTGAGTTATTTACTGAAGGTTAGACATTAAATTGGGCACAAAGTCAGCCACAGAACTCAAGAGATCCTCTTGCCATGCCTCATCCTTTTGTTATTTCATTATACTCTGCCTGTAAACAAGTGTAGGTGTTTCCCTCACAAATTATACTTGCTGTAAAATTTGATCTTTAGTATGCTTAGTATTACATTGCTTCTTATAGCTGAGTTCTGAAAATGCTAATGTGTGTAATTTCTAATTCTTAGGCCAATTTCTTTTGGAGCAGATTGCTTTGAAAAATGACATGATGCAGCAATCAGAAGGTGAAACAGCCTGCCCAATTATATGCAAAGAGACCATGGGTGATGATGAGGATGAAGAATTCCAATTCTCCAATCTGATGGATCGGCTTGGAGCTAAAAAGGTTTTGAATGAGTGAGTCTTTGCAGCAATAGTAATCGATCGTATGATTTTTTTTATAATTAATCTCTGTGTTTGATTTTAGTTAAATCCAAGGTAAATAATGAGAACTAAGACTGCTCAGTAACACAGTGATTGTTAAAAAAATTAATTTTCTTGGTTGTCAGATACCATTTAACCAAAATTTCCAAGAGTAAAACTATTGTATTCCAAGCATATGAAACTTATTTTGCTGCCATATGAAAGCTATACCACTTTATGTGTCATGTGTTTTGAATATAATTAGCATATAATCCACAGATGCCACTGATTTTCAATCAAACAATGCATGATGACTGTTTTTTTTTTGGCAAGGCCTGTGTTTAAAGTACACCAGTTAACCATAGGAAAGGAGGTTTCCTCCTGTTTTTCTGCCTTGTCTCCCCTTCATGCATAATTACACGTTGTGATTGTTCTGATAACACTATCTCTTCCAGGGCCAGGATGGCTCACTCTGAAACATGGAACATAAAACCTGCACTAGGATTTTTTTCTGTGTAGGCCTGACATTCTTTATTCAATCACAAGGAATGCTCTAGAAAAAAAAAAAAAAAAAAAAAAAGCATGGAGCAAAAATGGGAGAGAATCTGCACAGATGGTAGGAATATTTAAGATATACATCAGTGATTCTTACCATGAAATTAAAGTGCTCCTCAGTCTTTCTTTTGCTTCACCTGATTGCCTGTTACGGGTAACAGTTGGTTGTCAGTCATCCTGAAAGGCTTTCATTTGGAAGAGGTTTTCATCACCCACTTTTTCTATCCTTATCCTCAATTTGTCCTTTAAATATAGCACTCTTTGCTGGCTAGGTTCAGGCTTACAGTGCACGTGACAGAGAGTGAGTCAAGAATAAACAAACAAAAGAAGTTGTTCAGAAGAATATAGGCAAAGTATTAGAAAACCCGCTGTCATTCACAGTAGAGCATCTTTTTTCCAGCATCTGCTGAAAATATTTGGAAACAAAACATTATCTTGGTAAATCTTTTAATTGAAATTTCAAGATGTTTTATTCTGACTTTTGTAGCAGACTCACGGTAGAATCAAAATGTGTTGAAAATGAAAGAAGTCAGTACAAACACAATTTCTTATCGTGTCTAAGTAACTTATGAGGAAGGGGTTTTGATTCACTTTTGCGCTGCCCCCTTTGCCGTAGATTCGTGAGAGCCTCTTACTTCATTGTATCTCATCTTTCTCCTTTCTTATCCATTCCTGTTCAGAGGAAGTGTCTGGCAGGGCACCCACTAAACAAGCAGCTCCTGTGATACTCTGCAGCTGTGAATGGCCATACATTATGATGCATTTTTTTGAATAAATGCAATTTCCATCATTTCCCATCCACTTCATCCTTTTAAAGTCTGGCAAGTAGCCCTTGTTTATAATAAGTTTTGTATTCTGACTAGTGATGCCCTTAAGCCTCCATCTACTAGGATGCCATGAACATTTATTGCAGCCGGAGAAATGTTCTCTCTTAATGAATCCTTTATGATCTCTACTTTCAGTGAGAGTGATGTGAAGCAACTTTGGTTGCAGCTAAGAAAAGATGAACCTCATTTACTTTCCAATTTTGAAGAGCTCCTGGTCAGAATTTTCTCCCAGCTCCAAGAAGCAGATAATGAGAAGAATGAGTTGGAATGCGCTCTAAAAAAGTTAGTACTTCTCTTTGTCAGACTGTTTGTGTAGTTTTACAACTATCTTACTTACTGTTTGATCTTCTGAAGTAAACAAGGTATTTCAGTGGAGAATGGAGGACAAGAGTTCCCATTATGTAATATTTTATTAGTCATGAAGAGTACTGGTAAAATTATTCATATTGCAGGATTGGATGAAATTAGCTTTTCTCTTCCTGTTAACAGATTTTATTGACTGAAATTCTTTTGCAGATGTCTATTATTGCATTGAAGTTTTAAGACACTATTAAGCAATTCCAATCTAGTTAATCAGTTTGATTCCAGAGGACAGTCAGATTTACCAGTAAATCTGGTAAATTGTCCGTGTGCTTTGAAAACCCTGCGTGCAGAAAAGCTATAAATCTGGATTAACTGGCCAGAGACATAAGAGGTTTAAGATGTTAAAGCAGCACAAAGTACTGATATTAGTGAAAATGTAAGTTTACAAATATATATCTATAAAGCAAGCCTATGGAATATAGTAAATAATATGTATTTGTTTTATATGTAAACATCTATATATATATAAACAAATATATAAAATGCATATATAAATATATAAGAATTAAAAGTTAATAGATAACCCTTTAATATGTAGCTACCGAGGGGGAAAAAGGTTATGCTAAATCGAAACAGAATGCAAAATTATGGTTATGTTTGAAGTTCCAGTGTATTTTTATTGTGAAGTGTCACTTCTGAATTTCAGATTCTTACAGAATATATTGTTGAACATTCATTTCATTTGTTCAGCACTCTCTTGGCTATTCTGAGAATGTGACAAGGCATATTAAGAAGAAAAAGACCTAAAACTATATGGTCATTAAAGACAATTGGTTTATATTGATAGTAGCATTTTTATCTAAGTGTACAAGTGTAGTTTTAGCCTTCAGACAACTAGTCAGATGGAAACAGCATACAGTGGCTTTTGCTGTCTCTTTTAGACTAGAGATTAGTAACTGCCATGTGTGATGAGGGGTTTGTTTTGTGGTTTTGTTTGGGATTTTTGAGAGTGGTTTTTTTGGAACTGAATTAATAAATTTGTTCTGTTTAATAGCTGTGATCAGCACAGAGGTGCACAGAGAATGCATTAGCATTATCTTTTCTGGCTGATGTGAGATCTCTACCTTAAAAATGCATTGCATTTTTATATTTTTGTAGTAAAAACAGGTTTTAGCTAATTTTTTCTTTTTGTTGATCCCGACAACACCTCTAATTTCAGCAAATAGATTGTTGTTTTGTTTGTAGTCAATAGCTGGAAGGAGTCAGAGTAGTAATGTTGTCTTTAGTAACAGTGGGGATGAAAAACTTCTTTTCTTTTAAACCATGTACAAATAACAGCAAAGCTTAAGACAAGACCACATAAAGGGAAAATTATTTTTTTTAATACTCACTTATTAACACTAACATGCATGTATCTGGGTAGACTGGCAGGCATTTACTGTGGGGTCACAGAAAATAAGGGATGCTGGTTATTGAGGTCTTATAATGTCTTCTGGGTTGTTCTTGATTGGTGACAATAATAGCCTTTGGAAAGTGAATTTGAATAATGTGATCTTTTGTCTTTCCTTTCTGACTCACCTCCGTGAGTCATTAGGCAATAAGGCAGTCTACTTTCAGTCTTTTGTCCCCTTTCCTGGATGTAGGCTGTGCTTTTGTCTTAAGCTGGTCCTTTTTTTCCTATCCTGGGTGCCCTGAGAAGGTTCATGTGCCTGCGCTGGGATTTGTGCGCCATGACAATCTATGCTGTCAATCCATGACATTCTTCTCTATCTGTTTTTTGTCTTTTCTTCTGGAGCTTTCTCACAGGCATATTTTCATTCCTGAACTCGAGTCCCATGGTCTAAGAGACTCAGGGATTTCCTCCTGTTCTGGTCCAATACATACAGTACTCTGATGCTGTCCTGTTTGTAGGTCTGGGCAGTAGTGAGGCTGAATGTATATTCTCAATACCAAACATGCAAATACACCACACATGGGAGACAGTGCAGGCTAATCTTGAAAGAAAAATAAATTGTGATTTTTAAATCTAAACAGAATGCAATTCTTTGGATATAATTTTTTATTTTCCAGGATAAGTTAGTTCTGCTTGATTTTCTGGTATTCATATTTATTTTGAAGTGCTAATTTAAAATTAGATGGCTTCCTAAACTTAGTGGGTTTTAAATAATATGGTGATGTATTAAATGAGCAAAAAAGCAGTAGATGACTGTAAGGAAGATAAAATAAAGTCATGCTTACATGATGGGCAGTTATAATTCCAGAGAGAGCACAGAGAACTTCCTGAAATCATCAGTTCACAGTGCAGTGGCAGCCCAAAGACCCCACTAAACTTCTGTGCATTATCAGGGAGGGTACTGAGCACGTGACAAAGCATGTTTTTACCACTTCATGGAATTTTAGTACTGTGTGAAGTTTTGGTCTCTGCAACACAAGAAGAATATAGTGGGATGAAGAAAAGTACAGAGAATGGCAATTCAGCGGTTAAAGGAATAGAACAGCTATTCTGAGAGAGCTATTTTTAAAAGGTCGGATCTCTTGAATAAGGAGGCTAAGGCTGGAGTGGGATATGACAGACCTTGTTATTCTTCAAATCCCTGACAGTAGAACCAAGGGGCATTTAGTAAGTCTGATAGGAATTAAGCTGAAAAGAGATGAGAAAGAGCTTTTTCTTCTTATATAGTTGAAGATAAAATCTTCAACTGCCATTAGCTCTGTCTGCTGCTGTGCTTTGCATTTGAAAGAAAAACGAGTATAAACGTGTGCTGTGTTTCAAACCAGTTCTAAACTGAGAAGATAAACAAAAGTATAAAGGGGAAGTGGCAGGATGAACTGTCTTCTCATGGGCTTAGCATGGGACAGTGTCAGAGTCAATCTTTGTGGAAGAGGAGAATCAGCAGCTCAGAACATTAGTGCACAGTGTGCACAAATCTCTGTAGTTTTTTTTTTTTTGAGGAGAAAGAACAATTCACATTTCAGGTACATGAACGAGTGGAATTTAAACCCTTGTGAGTCTGTTGATCTTGAACTCTTCTCATCTGAACTTCGTGAACTCATGTTACGTTCCATCTCCTTTTGTCTCCATCTGTTTGTTCCACAGCATTACTGGAAAAAGATCACATTATCAAATATTACTGAAGCTACACAATAATTTGTTAAGTAAAACTAGATGGGATGATCCCAGGGAACAGAGATTTTAATCAAAACTTGCTGCATTTTTTACGTAACAATGATATACCCTTATGGCTTCAGGTTTTCCCCCGTGATTATATGTGGTGAATATTTGCCAGCTAATGTATTGGATTATTTTTCTGCTTCTGGTTAGTTATATTACTTATTATTGTGTTAAGCTTTTGATTGTAACAGGATATTAATTTCCCTTTCTGTTTAATTTGATCAGAGTTAAGAATGGTATAAATAAAATGCTTAGGGAGTATTCAGCCTGCAGAAATGGCATGTGCTCATGTGCCAGACCAACTAAAAAGATTCCTACATCCAGCAGTGCCTCCTGGGTGTAATCTTGATGATGCTGCCATATCCTTTGCTTCCAAACACATAAGAGGAAAGAAATAACTAAATCAGCAGCTTAATAATATGGGATTAAAGTTATTCTCCCTGTCACACAGAAGCAAAGAAAGTCTTTATGATTCCCATGGAAACACCGACTGCTGTGCAGTGTGTTCTGCCTGTGCAAAGTTACAGGGTTTTTCAGTACATAGTCAATCTAACCCTGGTCAAAGTGACATTGTACTGCATGAATACAGTAGGTATATGATCTTAGCATCTCTGTCACACCTTTTTAAGTAACTTTTATTTCTTTATGAATTTGTTTTAATTTTATTTCATTGATGAGTGCTAATTTCTCATGAAGGATTTTTGTATTTTGAAGAAAATAAAATTTAAGATCAGAACACAACCCATCTTTATACTATAAGGGCAGCAAAAAGGGCTTCTGGATTTTCTGGCACTCTCTATTTGAAGTATTGCAGTCAAATGAAGAGACCCTTGTCTGGGCTGCTTTTCTCACCTGGTCAGAGTTTTAAAAAGTTCAAGTGACAGCCATAGTTTTCCTCAAATTCGTATGGTTTGACATTTGTTTATTGCTACTGCAAATCCTGAAAAAATGTCTCCCCTCAGATTTTTTACCTGAAAATGCAAGCAGGCAGTGTCAAGTGTTCTGTTGTTTGAAAGGGGGAAGGAAAGACTTGTTTCTGGTTTTGCTCATTCTTTTTAGCTTAGGTAAGTCTCTTGGAGTGCCTTTCCAATTTGCTTTGCTCTAACTGAGAAGAGAACCAAGCCTTCAATAAGTGAAAACATAGAAATTGTGGAGCATTGAGAAAAAAAAAAAAAAAGAGATACCCTGATTACAAAATTAATGTTGGTTTTTTTTTTTTCAACTGTATATTTTTTGTCTTGCTCTTACTGATGTGAATACCCATGGAGATTATGTACTTTACTTGTAACAGATGTATTATGCAGATGGCTCAAGGAACATCTATGGCAGGAAGAATATGGGGGAAAATACAGTAATGTCATATAAAGACCCTATTAATGTCTATTAATAATCTTTCTAGGATGTCCCCTTAGTTTGATACAACGTGATTTTTGCTTTTCAGTTTCTGGGTTAATGACAATAGAATAGAATAGAATCCTTCATGTATCAAACTGCAGTGATATTAATTGCAAAATTCTCCTGGAAAAAAAGTGAACTTTGTTGGTACTTCTTTTTTTCCTACAGTCACATATACTTGTGCACAGCATATTAATTTCTATTCCTCATCTGGGCTTTTAAAATTTGTTCCGGCAAAGCTGTCAGAGAGGCAGTAAGGCAGCTTTCAAGAAAGTCTTTCAAGAATTCTCTTCTAGCTAATATATCTTAGACATGATAGAAGTACCTCATTCGGTGCTCTTGAGTGGGGAATAATGCACTTCCAGAGTAAAAAGAAATGAAGTTACAGTGAAAGTACTTTTAATTGGCAAACTTAGGCTCTGATATTCTTAGTATTGTCTCTTCCTTATATGTAAGATTTAGTAGTCATTATAACTGCATAACAAACAGGTGCTTTATATGGAAACATCAGATGTGTAGCTTTATGTGAGCTTTTCAACTGTTGAAACTTTCCTTCCACAAGAGAAAAAAAAATTAATCTGTGAACTTTGCTGCACAAAAATTCCTATTTCCTTGACACTAGAACATTTGTTAGAGTCCTGTGTTAAGGCAGAAATGTGGAGCTCAGTTCACAATGTGAACCATGATTTGAAGTAATGCTACTAAGACTCAGTCACTGTACTTTTATCTCTTGTTAGGAAAATTGCTGCTTATGATGAAGAAATTCAACACCTCTATGAGGAAATGGAACAGCAAATCAAAAAGGAGAAAGAGCAGTTTCTGTTGAAAGTGAGTGTATCTTTGTTATTGTGGGCCTGGATTCTGGTTCCCCTTTCAGTGGTTTCAGACTCATTCTGGGTGTCAAAGCCCACAAAATGCGTTTTACAACAGAATAAGAAAAAAACTTTTTTTCCTTCATAGCTACTTTTGTACTAATCTAGTCTCTGCAGCTTCAAACTAAATGACTTGTTTGATGAGAGGAACACTGATGTCCTGCACTCAGTGGTTGGCATACAGTAGCAGCTGGCATTCTTTTGGAAATCAGTTAAATTACAAACATTTTATTACTAGTGCTGCTATAGGTTCAACTTCTGGTTACAGTTTAGGAGAAATGCTCTTGGAGGTTGCTCAGAGCAGCACCAAACCTGTTGAATTCTATAGTCTCTGCTTTTTGGGAGGAGATAAGATCTCACTGAAGAGCAACAAGAGATGATTCAAGAGATGATAAGTTATTCAACTTATGAAACCACCACAGATATTTGAAAAATAAAAAATAAGTCAGACTCTTGTCACTACCATGGTGCCTCCAGAACACCGGAAAGTGAATTCCCTTTTCTTGCAAAGACTTATTTTAATCTCCTCCACTGCATTTGTAGTCTTTTCTTTGGATTTTTCTGTCCTACTTTTTTTTTTTTTTGGCAAAACAAGGAAACTAACAAGAACTTCCAGTATGCTTCAGGAAAGAGTAATTTTAGAGTCATGGGTGGGAAGGTGCCTGTGGAAATCCTAACTTTAAAACTAGATCAGGTTGCTCAGGGACATGTCCAGTTAAATTTTGAGTATTGAAATGCTGGAAGTTCCTCAGCTCCTCTGGGTGGCCTGGGACTATCCATCATGAGCTACTGGCTCATGCCTTTTTGTTGTCTTGGCATTAGCCTTATAAATGAAAGCAATATAGAGTTTCAGCAACACGTAACAAAATGTTGCCAAAATAGTGGTTATTGTCTCCATTTTCAATCAAATATGATATCTAAAACTTCATTTTTTTCCCCTAAATATATCAAGTATTTTTTTTTTCCTGACTATAAAAAAAAAAAGATGCTTTTATCAGCTATCTAAGGAATCATTCTTTTTACTTACCTCACACAGTAATGAACCTGACTCAAATTTTCAAGTTTTTAGCAATCCTAGCTGAGAGCAGTTTTTAGTGGTGGGTGAGATTAACCTTTTATATAAAGCTTGTGTATCAGCTGAAGGATAAAATGTATTTGCAACTTTGCCTGACAGCAGTTTTGTGGAAAAAAATAGTTCATATGCTTTTAATACCCCACAACTGAAGTGGTATTGAAACTCCTAAAACAACAAAGACTTTTCTGTAAGCAGTGATTGTTTGATCTCCTAATTAGTTGTATATTTGAGGTAAAGCCATTTCTTTCAGGCTTTTCCATTAAAGCTTCCCACTCAAGCTATTTACAGTGTAGTCAGCATTCACACTAAGGGTTGCCAGACACTCAAGAAGTATTGTTTCTTGGCATGACTAATTTGGGATCTGGGGGGATCTGGCTGTTAAATTCTTTCTCTAATGCAAAGTCTTACAAAGACTTTACAGCCTGGAGAGATGCATTGATGCCATATAAAGGGGAAATTATTATAGCTTGAATGAAGAGCAGCTCTTGAAGAATACATTTAAAGGAATTGGTAAGATGCAAATAAGTACAAATTGTAGCTATTTACAATACTTAGTACCCTGCTGACTGAAGGTTATATAAAAGGGGCAGTTACTCTGTCTTTCTCACTTGGATATATATTCTTCCACAGAAGAAACCAATTATTATGCATTTGATTACTACATTACATGTACTGCTGAAAGGGAAATGCATGTAAGAACCACTGGTGTATTGAGGGATTTTTTTATTTTTGTTTAGAAGCATTTTCCTGAGGATCTTGGGGAGTAGGAGCCTATTGTGGAGGAATAGGACAGATTCTCAGCTGATACATACTGCTGGAACCTGACTTTACTCAGAGGAGGTCTGACAATTTGTCTCAGCTGGGGAGTGTCTGAAGGAGTAATTCCATATATGACTGTGAATTCCTAGTGATTGCAAGATTTTTGGATACTGGACAGGTTGATGTAATTGCAAAGTGAAAGCCCCAATCACTTTTTTTATATCAGTGGAACATCTGTGACAAATTGTTGTTAGAGATGGATTTTAAACATGGCAGGTATTGTTTCTTTTTACCTTCAATCTGTGCTGCTGTACTGTATCCTGTATTTCCCATGTCAGACCCGATATCTCGTTACAGTATGACTCCCTAAGACTCCATAATACATTTGTCCAGGTTGTTTCCACAGGTGCATTCTCATCACTTCTCCATGCCAGCAGTGTCTAGTTAAGGAAAGCAAATGTGCAGGAATCTATCCACTCTGTTGCTGGGGTTTTTTCCAGTTTGTTTAGCTCTCAGAAGCAGCTCACTGCTGCAATCGATGAACATCAATGCTAGTGTATAGGAGCATAAGGGTATGTGTGGCTGGAAATGAGAGGATACGTTCTGGCTTCACTGATTTAGATTGGCTAAGCTCCTGAGGCTCACACCTAAGATAGAAGACTTCTGTCTGCTTTTGTAGACTGGATGCCTACTCATGTGCAATCAGCACATTCCGTAGCAACTGCAGTCTTTGGAGTTGCTGGGCTACACCAGTTTACAAAAGCTCAGAATCTTGATTCGTGAGTGATACCATCCCTAAACTGAGTTCTACCCATATCTCATTATTTTCACTGTGGAAAGCCTAAATGTTCTTTTCTTGACTGATTCTTTTTCTTCTTCTGCTGATGCAATTGTTCTGTTCTGTTAATCCATTTCCTCTTTCAATTTTGCAGGACACAGAGAGGTTTCAGTCCTATAGTAAGGAGCTGGAGTGCAAGCTGCTGTCAAAGGAACAAGAACTGGAACAATTGGTTCAAAAACAGAACAGGGTACTAACTGATGTCCTTCAGAGTTAAAATACAGATAACTCTTATTTGTTCATGTGATTTTATTTAGATCCTATTTCAGGTCCCAAAACTCCAAGTTGGTGTAATGTGGTTCTGCCAAACTGTCACCCCTCTGGTGCTTATGTGTCATGTGTTTAGGAAAAATGTTGCCCTCGATTTCTACAATAATTGTCCTTTTATGTGATATAATGAAAAAAATGTTTTTTTTTATTTTTATTATTTATTATATTACTTTTATATTATATTTATATTTTATATTTATATTATATATTTATATTTTATATTTATATTATATTATTTATTATATTATTTTTATTTATTTATTTATTCTCTCCAGGTAGAAGGTTAATTTTATGAAAATGTAGCAGAATTTCACTGTCTTCAATGTGCTAGGAACTGGCTTAATACCCAGGCAGCTCAAGAGCAGAAAGCAATGGTTTGTCTTCCAGTGTATACCTTTGCTCCAAACTTGTACCAGCCACTCATTTACTTGTTTTGGACTATTCAGCACTATGAACTTGAAGTGCTTCCTCCTGAACAAACTGCTCCTGATATATCTCTGTGATAACAGTTTTATGGCAGTGCATGGTTCGCTTGCGTGGTAACAGCTTGTCAAATTCCCATATTAAAACCTGATGTGTTTTACTTCTTAAAATGCATGGCCTGCTTGGGGAAGCAGAGTATTTCTGTATGTGTGAACTTCCTGTAAAGTGTCTTCAAGGTCAGTGCAGGAAAGACTAGCAATAGGGAAAGGGATTTAAGGGGCTGAAATGGAATGCTGTAAACCTAATTCCATCTGTAGAATATGATCATAAAATATATACAAAAATTTTTCCTAGCAGCAGTGCTTGCGAGTGCCAATCCTGAGAAGCAGAGGAGGGGAAGGGAAGGAAGAGGAAAAAGGAGTTTGAGGGCTGTTTCCTAGTTGTATGTAGTATTTAGGTCCTCTTTAGATTCATTCCTCTGAGGAATGAATCTAGGTACTGCTGAAGCTGATGGGAATTGTAGAATTGTACTTGAGTAAGAGGAGAGACAAATCTCTAGCTTACTGTAATCATGCAAGTTAGGGCTATCCTGAGGGGCTGTCACAAGTCAAATGAAGCACATGATTGGTAAAAGCCAGCATGGATTTACCAAGGGGAAATCATGCTTGAAAAACCTGTTTGCCTTCTACGACAAAGTAACCTGCTCAGCTGATGTGGAGCGATCAGTGGACACTACCTGGATTTCTCCAAGGCTCTTGATAAGGTTTCCCTTATCAAAAGGGGTTTTTTTGATAAGCATTCTTAAGGGGTTTTTTGATAAGCATTCTCCTGGAGAATGTGTTATGATCTGGGCAAGTGTTCCATGCGGTGGGTGGGGAACTGGCTGACAGGAGGTATTGAGGGGTGATGGTAAATAGCTCCTTTTCACACTGGCAACCTGGTACAAGTGGAGTCCAGCAGGGATTGATACTGGGCCCAAGGCTGCTTAATATTTTCTGAAGTGATCTGGATTATGACATAAAGTGTACCCTGACAAAGTTTGCTGATAATACCAAACTGAGTGGGGAAGCGGACACTTTGGAAGAGAGAGCCAACCTTCAGGAAGACGTGCATAGGCTGCAGGAATGGGCTAAAAAGAATCTTAAGTTCAACAAACACAAGTGGAAATACCTGGGAAAATAAAATTTAATCCAGGAGTGCAGAACAGGCTAGGATCTAACTGTCTGGGGTGCAGTTCTATGGAAAGGGACCTAGGGCTCCTGGTGGACATCAAGCTCAATATGAGTGAACTGTGTGCTGCTGCAGCAGAGAAAGGCAACCAAGATGCTGGGCTGTATCAACCAGCAGGAATTATTCTACTCTATTCAGCGCTTGTCAGATCACACCTGTAATACCATGTTCAGTTTTGGTCCCAGCTATGCAAAATAGATGTGGGCAGGCTGGAGAGGTTCCAGGGAAGGGTCACAAAGTTGATGAAAGGACTGGGAAGCCTGACATGTGGGGAAGAGCTGAGAGAACTGGGTTTGTTCAGCTTTGAGAAAAGAAGACTTGGAGGAGACTGTGTTCCAATATTTAAAGGGGGGCTACAAAAAAGGTGGACATTCCCTTTTTACATGGAATCACATGGAAAAGATGGGTGGTGGGTCCCTGGGAGACTTTGATTGGACACAAGAAAAAATTTTTCATGATGAGAACCATCAGAACAATTGAAACTTTTTTCATTCAGCCAGTTGATTGGCCCATTGTCAATCTGATATGCAGTATTTGATGGTTTGGGGTTTTTTTTGTCTCTGGTTTATAAACCTAACCTGTTGATCTGAATGCACTAATCAGTGTAGTTATTGGCAGTGTTTTCTACATATGTTTTTCTAATTTCTAATGAACTTCTCTGAAAGTGACATTCATCTTTATTCAGATCTGGTTTTGTAGTACTCCCACTCATTTTCTGGCATTACTTCTCATTCACCTGGATATCCATGTGTGCTGTCTAAGGCTTGCCTTATTGAGAGATCGCTGTCACTTTTGCCTCCTCTGGCATGAAAATATACTTTGATAATTAAATCTGTTCTTGCAGATAGTAATAGTAACTTGATTGCATTAAAACTTCCATGCTTGATTGTATGAGAGAACCTCTTGTAAGTAATACAAATGCTTTTTTCCAAACTTTGTTAATAAGTTCTTTTTTTTTTTTTTTTTTTTTTTAATACAATGTAATTATTCCTGTGTTGGAAATTATCAAAAATGTGAAAGGGAACTTCCAAACCAGATGACTTCAGGTGTTGTTTTTGCTGACACAGTGTGAGGGATTCTCCCTTATGAGGGTCTCCTGCCTGGCTTGACTGGAATATGGGTCTGATTCCATGTTGACTGGCCAGGATTCTTTGTCCAGGGCTTTTTGCTGACTGCCATGATGTTGAATTGTCAGTTTGCACTATATATGGCTTAGTTAATACACAAGGTATTCTCATCCCTTGTTCCTCAAGGGATGTGTGATGGAATGGCTCAGAAGGAGGCACTGGGGACAGGGGATGTCCAGCATAACATATAGGGCACATAATCTTGTATGAGGGGATGGAAGTAAGTTTGGACCAGGTAAAATGCAGGAAAGTTACTGGGCTTCTAACATAAAATGATGGGTACTGTGCTGATGACAGCCACTGAAGAGCATGATCCTGGGATTCTGAATGAGATCCAGGAGAACATGGATCAGTAGCACTCAAAAAAGGCAAATCAAGTGATTAGATTGTTAACAAAAGCATAAAGAACAAAATAATCCTCAGCCTTGTAACATTATAAATGTTTCACCTTTCACATGCACCTGAAGTAAAGGAGGGGTGGGGAGGGAAGAGAAAAACTTTGAAAAGGATGCTGGGCTAAGAACAAGGGAATACATGGAGAGTGTTTAGTGTATGTGTCTTTCAGGGACAGCAATAGCTGTCCTCAACAGCAGCTTCTTTGTATTGGACAATCCCAGTTCTTTACTCAAACTTGTGAGTTTTTCTCCTGTTTTTGTCAAAAAAAAAAAAAAAAGAATAGGCACCATTGGCTACTGTGTCTGTGCTAGCTCACCTGATGAGCTATTTCACTGTATTGGGAGGTTTTTAGATTAATGCTTTAAAAATAGTGTTTGACATCCCTCAAAGGATTGTGTGGGTATAGTTAAAGAAAGGAGCTCTGTATTGCTGTTACATAACCCTTTCTCCTCTTGTTGTGTCCTGGGGTTTATAAATTACAATTTTATTGTTTTTTTGACAAGAGTAAGCACCAAGATTTATAGCAAGTATTTTCTAACATCAGTATATATGATTCTGGGGGGTGTTGTTGACTACCGTTGCAGTTACATTTCCAGCACAGTCTCTGCACTAGTTTTCAGATTGCCATAGTATACTGCAAGTGGGATTTCTGCCTGCAATTTGTAGCTCATAAGATTTTTGAAAGTTCATCTTTTTACAGTCGCTTTTCACTTCTCCCAGAGCCTCTCGTCTGGATAAGAAAGTCTTGTCTTCTAGTACCTGAAGCATCTGGTCTTTTACTTAGAATAGATAAGTTTATTCTGTCACAGAGTAGAAACAATATTCAGGAACTGAAGTAATCTATCCATGTAAACCAACATTGCTCAGCAGTAGTGCGATGCCCAGCCAGTCAGTGTTCCATGTGAACTCTGAGCCTGCTGAGGACACAGTTCAGCAGATATGTTATGCTTCTGCTGCTGCTAAGTGCTCCCACTCTACTCTTGTTCCTGACTTCTCACAATCCCAGCTAGAAAGTATTTTCTGCTTTTGTTTTTAACTTGGGCCTTTTTCAAAACCAAGACTAGAAACAGCAGCACTGTGGAGGGGGAACAGACTGGCAGAGCTGATTGAGGACAGATTTCGGTTGAGTGAGCTCTGCTTGTTGGGATGGGAAGATTAGAGTTGTAGCAGTGTTGTGTCTCAGATCTGGAAGATTGAGATGGTATCATTGTAGTGCTCCTAGTACATTTTATATCCCTTGAAGAGCATAAATAAAATAAAATAAAGCTTTTATATTTTTAGGTCAACAGTGTCTTCCCTAATACAAACTTTTGCTCGGCCATCTAAATTTGCTCAGTTAGCCAGGGAGAAGCAGGTAGAACTTCTTTATATACCAGAGACCACTGTCATCTGCTGTTACCTGTTTCAGAGGGAAGGTGTATCTTTCCTTTGATGTACTTTGGAGAGTGAATATAAAAGTGAATAAAAAAGCTCTAATTCAGTTTTTAGACAGACCTCTGAATCACTCTGTGTAGGCCTTGCCTTTGTGGGAAATAGTCTAAAATAGCACTTGCTAAAATAGCAACTAAGTGCTGCTAATCTGTAGCACCTTTTCTTATAGTTTGTCCCGGTGCATTTCTGAACTGGATGAAATTCAGTCATAGAGTGGAATGGCTTTGTTTTTGTGTAACATAATTATGTCTGTACAAAGAGCAATGGAAGAGCACCATATGTGCTTTATTCATATTTTGGCTTTGATAGAAATTGCTTCCTTGTTTAACTAACCTCTAAGATTTGAATTGGAAGCCTCAAAACCAAGATGCCTTGGTTAGTTATAATACTTTCTGCTCTCTTTTCTTCCACCCCAGCTAGAGCATCAGTGTACAGAACTCCTCAGTGGCAAAGAACAAACCAAAGTAGAGAACACCAAGCTGAAGCTGACTAACCAGGAGCTGTTGAAAGATCTGGAAAGAACGTCTCACGAACTAAGCCTGGCTCAACAACAGTTAGAGATGCTTCAGAAGGAGGCATCAAGACTGCATGAGGAGAAGGAAATGTAAGTCTCCAGCTGCAGTAGTTCAGTGCATTTGCTTAGTGTACCAGTGAGCCTCCTTCTCACGGTATTCAGTGCAGTGATTTAAGCTTGTGTCATAAGCAGAAACCACCAGGAAAGCCCCATGCAGTTCTAGCCATTTCCCCCAGGTAATTCAACATGCTTTCTGTAGCATATCTGGCTTCTACAGAATCTTTTTCTATGTGTTCAAAATGTCATTGTTCTCCCCCCTGCTGTTTGTTGAGACTATTTGGAATTAAAAATCAGTTTAGTGTCTTAGCTTTGAAATACCAGTGGGATTCCTTACAGATATTATAGCTGTGGCACATGATGCTCCATCCTACTCAAAGCTAAGTCTATCTAAAACTTGGTTCTCAGAATGCACTCTGACTGTGAGTCACCAAGGATCTACTTTTTTCATCAAAAGTATGCCTAGTACATAATTTCTAACCAAGGAACCTGGCCAGCAAGGTAGAATGTAGCTTATCACAGTTCACACAAAGCCTAATAATCTTGGGTGTTCCAGTTCAGATGTGTGGATTTCAGATTCTGACTCTGAATTAAAAAAAAAAAAAAATCAAGAAGAAATATTTACAATTCGTATTTTGAGGGATAGAAATGACCTTTAAGTGAAATATCAATCTACCTGTCTTGCCTCCAGCCTTCTGCACAAAGCAGAAGTTATATTACCCTGAAGCTGTAATTGGCAGAAATGTTCACTGAAGTACATTTTAAATAAATGCTCAGGGATCTGTAAACCCTCTCACTAGTAATAGAGAGCACATGAATGCCAGACGTATCTGGCCAGACTCTATACATTTCAGCAATGAACTCTATAACTCAGAGCTTTTGCTGTTTGACATATTTCAGGGTAGAGCAGAACATGTTCAAATGTCAAATTCTTTTTCTCTTAAGCTTTATGCCAAACTCTACTTAGTTATTACATATTTATTTTTTTCTTGAGGGTTTAAATGATGAACTAGTTTGATAAATTATTATTATTATTAAGGAATGGCCACCATGTTTAGAACACACTATTTTTAGGTTTGCATGTTTGATGTGTGTTTTGGAAGAAGACAGTAGAAATATTCCTCCTCAAGGGGGGTTGTTTCCTCTTTGAGGCTTCTCTTTTCAGATCCAGAGCAAAGACTATGGAATGATCTGATTTTAAAGCTACAAAGGAAATCTGCCCAGTGGTCAGACTGATGAATAACACTACTGCATTTACAAAGCACTTTGGATTCAATAGTGGTTTATGGAATTAGAGTTCAGCTCTACTCAGCTGCACCTGCAGTGTTGCTTTAAACATCTGTATCAGTCTGGTAAGACCTGAGCTGTTGAAGCAGGTGTAATGTTCAGACAGTGCACAGGAAGAACCTGAGGCTTCACTGAAAGGCAAAAAAACATTTAAGGCCAAATGCCAAATTGCATTATGTCAAAGTAAATGGTGTTAAAACCACTGCATAGCTGTCAGGAATTGGAAAGAAATGGTAGGGAATGTAGATGTGTGTGAGCCTGAAGTATGGTTCCAGCAGCAAGATAAGCTCTAATTTTGAATACAATGTTACCTGTTTTTTAGTGACCATAAGTGAGAAGTATTTCAGCAGTGTATCTTTTCTGAATGCTTCAAGTGCTCCAAATGCTCAATATTGGCACATACTAAGCTCTCTGGATGAAGAAATAAAATACCCATCTCTTTTTATAAAAGAACCTCTATTCCTTCCTCTGCTACTCAAACTCCTGTGATACTTCTAGCCTTGTATTGAATAAAGTTTTTTAAAGTGAGTAACCATTCATGCAGAATATAACCTACAGGTTTGGAGAAGGTGAAATCTCAAATGTAGATACTCCTGGGAGGAGCATTTGAGCAGTCTTCTTACCATGGTTAGAACAGTTTATTGGTTTTTTTTTTTTTTTTTTTTTTTACAGGGAGGTGTACCGAGTGACAGAAACCTTACAGCGAGAGAAGTCAGGACTTCTGAAGCAGCTGGATCTTTTAAGGTAATGCAGACCTTACATTCAAAAATTTCTTACATCATTCTAAAGAGGTACATTAAAGGATGCAATTGTGTTGGAATATGTACTGAGTGTAGGTATCCAGGTGCTGACAGTCTCTGTACCAGAGAGAAAAGGCTGGGGCTGCCCCATGCTGACACACAACACAGGAAACAGCAGAACACTTACAGCCATGATGGTGCTTCTGGGAAAACCTCTGTAAGAAAGGGAAGCAAAGCACTTCCGAGAGGGGCATGAGAAAAAATGTGTGAGAAGCCCTTCAGACACCCAGGTCAATGAAGAAGATGTTGTAGTAGAAGGTGCTCCAGGCACTGGAGCAGACAGTAGAAAGGATCTGTGATGGAGCAGTTTGTGAAGGACTGTAACCCGTGTGAGGGAACCCACACTGGAACGAGAGAACAGTGTGAGGAGGAAGGAGCCACAGAGGGAAGCTGTTATGGACTGACTGTAAACCCCACTGTTCCCCATGCCCCTGTGCCAGGCAGGATTGGTAAGGAGGTAGAAGACCTGAGAGTGTAGGAGTGAAGTTGAACCTGAGAAGAAACAGGGTTGAGAAGAAGGTGATTTTAGTTTTGGCTTTGTTTCTCATCATCCTATAGTTGAGTCTGTTTTGTCTGTAGTGGTATTTGCTAAGTAATCTTGTCCTTATCTTGATCCACAAGCTTCTCCATCTTATTTTCTTCCCTTGTCATATTGAGGAAAGAGAGTGAGAGAGTGGCCTGACTGCACATCTGGCAGCCAGTCAAGGTCAACTTGCCGCAGGATAAAGTCACAAAAGACAGCAAAAATGGTTACAAAGTACTTTTTTATGCCCTTTTCTGGCATACGGTAGAAGGCAGCACACCTGAAAGGTATGCTTTCTTTTGGCAATTCAGTATTGTAGGACAATCTCCTTTTCAAAAGTCAAATGTGAAATGGAACAATAGTGAACTGTTCTAAGCTGATTCTGTGGCAGAAGGCTGGCTGCAGGAGATGAAGCATGCTAAAAGGCTCTGTTGTTTCTGAAGCAGTAGGAGTTGAGCCAGAGTAAATGTTCTTTCCCCAGAATGCTTTTTTGAAAAATGCTAACAAAATAAAGTTAGGTAACATTTCCCTTTATTGATAGACTTCAAAGGTTGGAACTTTGTTCGGACAACTGTAGCCTTCTCATTAATGTGCAGCCACGTTAGGTTTTGTTTGCTCAGTAGTCAGTTTGTATGGGCTATGCATTGCACCTGCCTTCACTGACTGCACTTCCTTCCGGAGGCCTCATTTCGAAGTTACCTAAAAATTTCACGTTTTTGAGGGAAGGCTCTTATTTTGCAGTGTGTTTTCCATAGGTCACTCTATGTGGTGTGATCTTGCCCACTGCAGGTAGTGGGGACATAGGTAGAAATACCTGACAAAAGAAGTTGTTGCTGCTCACTCAGGCTATAGTGGCTGCTCATTCTCTTTTTGTGGCCAGGCCAGAACAGATGAAGACAAAGGATGATATACTAAGTAGGTGTATTGTCAGATCTGATCAGAGCTTGCTGATTGCCTGGAGTCTCAATTTCTTGGCATTTTCGTTGTTTCTGCATAAAGGATGGAAGATGGATGTTTTCCTAGGGAGACTTTTCCATGGCAGCCACAACTGTAGCCCTCAGAGGGACTTAACTGGCCTTCACAGCTGTCACCAGATGAACAAGCGATGGTGTTCATTACACCCTCTCCAGATTAAGACATCGTCTTTACTGTGAAAATCATTAACCATTCTAATTTATAGTAAGTGAAGGCACATTGACTAGAACTGATTTCTATGTGTTAAGGCATTTGTTTAGATAAAGTACAGAATGAGGTCCAGACACCATCTGGCTTTAATCAGCCCTACTGGAGAATCAATAGCCCAGACAAGGAACTGGCTGTGGGGAGAATATAAATAAAGAATGATCAAAGTTTTACACTGCCAACTGTCCAATCTGTCTGTTAGTGTGGAGCAGAAAAGTCAGCAGTTCTAAAACTTGGCTTCAGTGATTCTTTTGTTCTCTTTACAGAGAGATGAACAAACATCTCAATGATGAACGTGACATATTTTTACAGGTAACCAACTATTATTTTCAAACCCAGTGTTGAGCAAACACATATCAGAACAGCCTCAAAAGAAGGGGATCAGGAAGCTGTACCAGAGATAGAATTTTTGTGCTACTTAAATCGTGCCCCATTTTTAATTTGTATTATCTCTTATTCTCACTTCAAAAAAGATTTTTAAATTTGCTGAACAATTTTAAGAGCTACATGTTCAAAATTGTAAAGTTGGAGCTAGCTGGAGAAGGATGAATGTGTTTAGAAGAAACTAAGAATGCAGTCATGGGAGGATGAAATAATCTAAACATTTAATAATTAAATTGTGTTAATCTGTTTAGTCAAGGGTAGCTAATATCCTGAAATGTTTATACAACAGTACTATAACTGAGTACCTGAATCAGGACCAGAATACCTATTGGTACCGAGTAAGAGCAGATCGTATTAACTTTTTAAACAGCAGCAGAGAATGGGCCCCTAAGAAGTTCCAGAAGAATGCTGGTGTAAGGAGACTAAGGTCACTTAGTTTACAGTTGTTTGTTTACTTAGTCCTACGGGAAGCTGCTGGTGTAAAAAAATGTATCTATTGACTTTTTTTTCATGAATTATGCTGTTTTGTTGTAGTCCACTCAGTTTACAAAGCAGATGAATTCTTGCAGGATCTGGAGTTTCCGTGTTGTGATTGTCTATCAATCAGGATTCTGAAGCATTTATACCTGTAGGATTTTTTTCTACATTTTTTTCTTTCATATGCATTGCATTATTTAAGCATTAGGAATGAGGGCAGTTAACCATAATGAAAAAGAGTAAATTAGTAAGAAGTATTATGTATTTCTGCAGAAACGCAAAACAAGTGTTCCAAAAGCCAGCTGGAAGCAAAGATCAGGGTCTGTCATTGGGAAATACATAGAGGGGAAGATGCTACCTAACAGGTAAGAACTTCTTTTTGATGTGCTTCCTATTTGAGTATGATGAGGCTTATAGAAAGAAGATGAGGAATGTTGTCTTTCTGATACCTTTGGACTTCTCAAAGCATGCATTTCTAAAGTGTCTGTAAGATTACTGTGCTCATTAAGAAATTTGAAAATAAAGTGACAAGTTTTAACATAAAACTGCAAAGGCAAGGAATTTCCCCATTGTGGATGACTATATGCTGGGAGGCACAAAAGCTGTCCAGTTATCCCATGTTAATGGGTATGGTTTCCTTGGTAACTTCCTGAAAGAGTCCATCTCCTGTCATTGCAGAGAATGGCAGTCCTGTTGTAAAGTATGAGATGTGCAACTTTTAAAAAGAGAATTTAATTCTCAACTGTGTGGTTGTAAACTTGAAATCAGCAGGAACGAGGTGGCCATCTCAGTGAAACACTAGCACTTCCTTTGAGGCCGGAGGAGCTGGAAAGTCTTAGTATTTCACTGTGAAATAGTAGCTAAGACAATGACCCTGCAGGCACAGGGTCATGAACTCTAAGGAAGGAAAGGTTTCTGAGGTACAGTTTAGTATGCTCAGTACTGAGGAGTGGAGCATCATTGGAGAAGCAGCTATGGCACAAAAAATCATGCTAAAATTTAGGTGGGAAGGACCTCTGATGTCTCCAGTGCAATACCTTAAGCAGGTCCAACTCCTTAGCTAGCTAAGATTGCTCCAGGCCTTGTTCATTTGAGTTTGTGAACACCTGGATGGAGGTCCCACAGCCACTTTGAGCACCTGTTCCCTTGCTGCAGCAGTCTCTTGAAGAAATTTTGTTCCCTGTATCTGGTTGGCATTTCTTTTATTGCCACTTGCATCTGTGGTCATTGCACACACTTGAGAAGACTCTTATACATTTTATCTACACTCCTCCTTCTGTTGAATCTCCACTTAGCCTTTTTTAACCCCTATTAAACAAACGCATGTCCCTCCTACCTGCTAAAGAGAAAATTAGGTTACACATAGAAAGAATCTGGATTGGGGGGCTGTTTTATTCCTCCAGAATGGAGATGGGGAATGGCAAATAAGAAAATCACAGTAGAGAAACTTCAGCTACTCCATGAGGTTAGAATTGAGGTTAATCTCATGTCTAATTCTGCTTCAGTAGACATTGGATGGAATCTACTATTCCTGATGTGAGTAGTAAAAAACCATGGGAGATTAAATTCAGTTACACTACAATAAAACAGTAGGAACCCAACTCCAATATGTTTTTGTGGTTTACTTTCTTTTTTTCTCTGTCCAGCCATTCATTTGAAGAAGATGATATTTTCAGTAACTCAAAGAGAAGGAATTCTACTGGACTGAATGGAATTCTCTCTGAAGAGCCAGATGCTGGAGTCACTGGAGGAATGTCTAAAACATCACGTCTCCAAAGAATAATATCAATTGAAGAAGATCACCTACCCCAGCTTCTTGACAGGCTGGTTGATAAGCAGCTGAACAGGTGGACTGAGGAAGATGACAGTACTTCTGAGGTGGAAATGCATAAGAAAAGCACAGAGCAGTCAGTGGAACACTCACCTTCATCTTCTAGAGAGCAACCTGTAGGGAAGGAAACACTGTCAAATGTAAGAGGACAAAGGGAACCTCACCTTGAATATAGTGTGAAGTTCTATGATTTAAGGAGGATGTGAAGGTTCTTGAATGCATTCAGAGGAGGACAACAAAGCTGGTGATAGGGCTAGCATGTACTGTGAGGAGAGACTGAGGACTCTGGGCTTGTCTAGTTTGGAGAAACAGAAGCTGAAGGGCAACCCCTTTGCTCTCTACAGGTCCCTGAGAAGGGGAAGTGGAGAGGGAGATGCTGATCCCTTCTTTCTGGGACCAATGGTAGAACACGTGGGAATGGTTCAAAGCTGCCTCAGGGAAGGCTCAGACTTAATGTTGGGAAACATATCTTTACTGAGAGTGTGATCAGACATTGGAACAGGCTTCCTAGGGAGGTGGTCCATGCTCCAAGCCTGTCAGTGGATAAGAAGAATTTGGATAAGGCCCTTAATAACAGGCTTTAACTTTGAGTCAGCCCTGAAGTGTTTAGGAAACTGGACTAGATGATTGCTGTAGGTCCTATCCAACTGGAACTGTCCTGTTCTTTTCTATTCTACAGGACCTTGGAAAGCATGAAATGGTGTTGAAGGGTAATGTTTTATTCTTAGAGTCTAAAATCATTTAGTTTTCTGTTTTTAAGTTGAAGCATGACAAAATAAGCCAGTGGGAGATGGAAATATACTGCAGCCTGTGTGCATAGACTTATGTCTGAAGGACTGTTTAGGAAAAGTGAAGTTAAGCCTTGTAATAGATGACACAGGAAGATCCACTGAAAGGTAGCAATGGTCTTAAAAAAGAAGCAAGACTTTTTTTGCAGAAATTGTTTGGTTGGGTGGGTAGGTGTTTTTTTTGCTGCAAAGTGGTATTTCTCATATTCTGATACTTTTGAGTCAGTTTTGGTAGCTTTTACATTATCTGAGAAATAATGAGAGAAATATCATTACTTTTTAATTATTTTTTGAAAAGATTTTTAATTAGCGAGTAGAAATCTGATATTTTTTTCAGCTTTAGCTTGTATATGCATGTTAGCAATGAATTCACAATGCGGTAATAATCCTTAAAACAATATGCTGAAAGGAACATTTCTTATGAGTTTAAAGTTCTGCTTGCACTGCTATTGCTTCAGAGCTAGCTGTGCTTGTTTTCTAATTTTAGTATCATTGTTAGGTATTACTCATTTTTAGATTCTTGAAGCACATATTAAAAAGATTAAAGTATAGGAAAAATAGGTTTGCTTGGTCATAATTATATAGTTCTTTTAGAAGAAGCAAACATATCTTAAAAGTTATGGTAGAATTATGCCATGGTTACATAATAACTTCTAAGTGGTACCTTTTAATAAAAAGTCTAGGGTACAGAACAGAGCTTCATCTTTTGAAATTATTTAATTCAGTGCATGCTTTTTGCTTGCTGTATGACTTATTTCGTATTGGATTTTCAAAGTATGGCATCATTGGACTTTAGGACAGCAAAAGTCAGGTACCTCATCCTGTACAGCTAGGACAAATCCTGCCTACTCTGTTTCAGCAGTCATGCCCCTTGACAGCACATCCTCTCAGCTAGGTAGGAACTAGATCTTGTTTCTTATATTCTTTTCCCCGTAAACAGTTGACAGCAAGCAGTCAGGGAGTGGAGAGAAGAAACCATAAAATTTCTCATGCCTGGTTGTTGAAAACATTTTGTTTCAGTTTTTAAAGAAACGTGGTGAGGGTAAACATGAAGTTAGTTTCCAAAGGTTATTTCGAACTGGGAATTATTTGTTTGTTTTCTCTCTGTGAAATGCCAGTGATTTAGCCCAGCCTTTATTTTGTGTTCGGTTTTTTGCTTGTTTGTTTTTTTTTTTTGTTTGTTTTTAAAATTTAGTTTAAAAACCCCCATCAACACAGCAGCATACTCCTTTCTGGTAAGCTCTGTCCATGTGGCACTGAAGGCATGGTGCATGTGCATGGTTCTCTTGGCCTGCCAAGGACTATTCAGTTGATGGCATTTCATTGCTCAGAGCAGTCTCTGTGCTGTGTAAGTGTCTGACTCCTGCCATTTGGTGTGAGTAGTGCATTGTCTCCTTCCATACATGCTGCAGCTGCAGTCAGATGAATTTCTCATACAACTTTGTATTTGTATATACAAATTCTGTGTTTCCTAAATGATGGTTCCTGGGTTCACACTTCTTGAACATGAGATTTAGACATCAAAAGCGATCTTGTTCCATACAGTCCTTGCACACTTATTCCCACTTCTGACAGCATGCCTGAGCTAGAAAAAGCGGTATTCAATTAGTAAGTGTTTTGAGGTCAGCTCTGCATGTAATGCTCAACTGGAGCTGAAGAAAACTTCAGGAAAAGGTAACTCCCTACTTGGTGCATCGTGAGTTATGAGGTGTGAGTCTCAGGGCCACATGTCAACTAGGCTGTCTTCTGTACCCAGTCTTTCTCTCCCCTTACATTTTGCTGCCCAAAAGCTGTGCAGTATAAAAGAGTGTAGGATCTAGAAATACTTGTGCAAAGGGGGCAGAATGATTCCTTGCAATTGTGTACAATGGCTTTGTACTACTTCATTCCGTGATCTCATTGCTTAGTATACAGGACTCGGGCTCCTAGCTGCTGGCATTAAGCCTTCCTATTCACCACATATTCACAGTAGTTCAGCTGCTAATCCTTTATGCCCCACTGCATCTTACAGGTGAGTAGAACCAATGTCTGCACCAGCCAGGTACTGGCCAACAGCTGCCGTTTTATCTGGGAGTTGACAATCAGGTAGAACATTTTTCTGAGTGGCTACACAGATGAAGCTGCAGTTAGCATTAGCAGAAATGTGTTTGGGAAAACACCTGAAGGAAACGTAATGGAAATTAAAGCAAAATTTTCTGTCCAAAACCTCTACCTGAGATTCATTTCCTCTGCCTTCTGTTATTTCAATATGGAATATGAACCACTGAGTTTATGCCTGTCATCTTCCACATTTGTGTTAGACTGCACAAAAGCTAGGTGTGTTACTTGACCTGGCTGCTGTTTAGATAAAGACCGCTCAAAAGACCCATCTAGGGAACACTTTTTCAGACTGCATTGTAAACTAAATTCACATTCTACTGCTATTCCATTTTCCCATCAGCACTTTGTTGAAGCAGACTGTGAAGCAGCTTATTCCTTGGTATAGTGTTCAGATGCAGGTTTATAAACAAATTTGATTATTAAAGTTATTTTCATCAGTGGAGTTGATACATCTCAGTGAAAAATGACTTCTTATGCTGGGAGTTGAGCTGAAGGCCTTTGGAGTCTTTGAGTCTTAGTGCTACTGAGGTGTGTATGACCACTAGGGACAAGGTATTACAGGTCATGTAGTCCATATATTTAGTTATTGTTCTCAGAAGCCCTGTGAAAATGCTGCCAAGCTGATGATTGTATGTTAACTTTTTTTAATTTCCCAGAGCACACAGTCTAATAAGCTGGGAATGTTTTTCAGCAGAATGGAAAATGTGCTTTATATAAATGTACGTGTACTACTAGTAGCCTATAGTTGCACTGGGGTTTGGGGTTTTAATAGAAAAGGAGAATAAGAAACCTCTGTATAATTGTAATGTGCTATTATCCCAGCTCATGAAAGAGATATGTCCTTTTGTCCCCAAAATTTACAGCAGTGAATGATTTTAATTTTTTTTCATACTTAGGAAAACAGCAGCTTGAGGTTTTGTTGCTTGGGGTTTTTTCACCATCAAGTGCAGCACTCTGTTTCTGCTTTCTGTAAGACTTCAGTATATTTGTAGAATACACTTCCAAGTCCAGACTTCAATGTCTTATTCAAAGTACTGTTGGGCAGTGAATTCAGTTCTTATGTCTGCAGGAAGGCAGCAGTCTTGAGAGTTCTGCACCTCAAATGACTGGCAGAGGGCCTTTCCCTCCCTCCTTTCGCTCCTCACAGCCCCCAGCTCAACATACTTAATGCCAGGACCATCACAATCTTGCTCCCCTTCTGCAGCATTGAAAACAAATGCTCAATCTCCCTTTTTCTTCACCTTTATGTAAAATAGAAGAGACCAGCTAGGGCACCCCCTGCAAACCAGCTGGTGCTACAGTGTTCTTCCCTAAGCAACTCCTGATCTACATACAAAGCAATAATGACCTACTTGACAGAGGATATAAATATTCTCTCCAGCATCCACTTCGCTTAGCCTGCAGTAAACAGGACTTGGATAAGCAGAACAAATCGTTGTTCCTTCTGCTTAAAAAATGAAATGACAGAAACATAGCTGAATGTTTACAGCCTGATTAACTGGTCTAATTCCCTCTATCTCTCTCTTTCCCCCCTGCTTCTGCCTGTAATGTTGAACGGATGTAGAAATGCTGTAATTGTATGGAAGCTCTTGGCTCCATGGTAGTAGCAGAGAGAAGAGTCTGGTGGCATAAGCCAAGAAATTATGACTTTGCTTCTGTTATGTAGATGAAGATGTGCTGCTTCCTCTGTGTCATTGGTATAGGGTGAGCAGAGCTGTGTGAAGCTTTATAAATTTTGATTTGTGGCCATGAACATAAACTGTTTTATTTAGGCAGTTTCATTCATTTTTCAACACAGTGTCATGCAAAGGTTCATATTCGGTATACTTCCAGAGCTCAGTGCAAATCACTGCACTTCAAATAATCTGGAATGATGCATAGCAAACATCTGAAATGCTGAGTTATTTTAAGAAACAGAATATTGCTTCATGAGTAATGAAGAACATGAGAGGATTTAAACTATTCTTTTTCTCATCTCAGCCTCAAACTGGAGAGGCAACAAGATTTATAGAACAGTTTGAGACTAATTTTTGCTCTTACTTGAAGGAGGAGAGAATAAACTCTGTCCCAGAGCACTTATTCAAGATTATTTTTGTGGGCAATTCGAGTGTGGGAAAGACTTCATTCTTAAGAAGATTTTGTGAAGATCGTTTTTTCCCAGGCACAGCTGCTACTGTAGGTAAGTTTAAGAAACATGATTCCTATTATTGTTTTTGTTCCAATAGTACTTAGCGGCCTCTACTGAGGTAGGCCCTGTGTTATAAAACAGAAGCATACAGCTGTTGTATAAGTAGGACATGCAAAGTGAGTTCTCCTAAACTGGGAAGCAGATAATTGATGGAGATGTGAAATCCTGGCAGCACTGAAATAAATCAGAAAAATCCTACTGATTGCAGTGAAGCTGGAATTTCCTTTTAGATCTGACTATTCTGAAATGGATATCCTGTCCTCCTGCTGCTTTGGAAGAGAGCAGGTCTCCTGGGTGTTCTGCCATATGGAATATGTTGATTACCAAAGAGCATCTCAGATGTTGTATAAGTAGGACATGCAAAGTCCTAGGTGCCTGTGAGGAAGGAGTTGTTTTCTTCCCTCCCATCCTCTCCAAATTAATCCAGTCAGAAAGAAGAGCCTAGGCACCAATTAACCTGACCTTTGATGCCTACTTCAAGGTGAGCTTAGTAATTTCCTAGACTTCTAGGTTTTCATTGACTACATCTTTGTTAACTGGAATGGGAGCTTAGACACCCATATGCAATTGTCTATTCATACATCCTATAGACCTGTATGCTGTGTCCTATTCATGATGTTCTGTATGTGGCCAATACACCTGTCTGTAATCTGAGGGTTTACACAGCGTGTGCAAGTTTTCCAAAAGAAAAGGAGTGAGTCTGACCTTTTTCATCTTTTGGCTGGACATCCAGGGTTCTTGCAAAGAAAGTGGCAAGAAAGTATTTGTCATAGCTTTGATTTTTAAGGTTCACATCAATGAGTTTCATAGGTGTGGACTATGGCTGGCAAGATACAGACAGTTGAAAAGTCAAGTGAACAATCTGGAGAAGAGTGTTCTCATTGAATTTCTATAGAACAGTTCAGATTTCTTCCCTTGAGACATAAGCAATGGATATGTCTTCCATGCAGATTTTGTAATTGTCTGTTGAACGAATGCAGACGTAGATGCTTTTTCATTACTGTCAGTGGCAAAAATCGCACTGATGTGGAAAATGGCCCAAAGAAATGGTTGATGCCCAACTGAGATCCCTTCCAACCTGAATTATTCAATGATTTTGTGGTTTTGTGATACACTACACTGTGATACAAGAAAATGCAGATTGTCATTAGGAGGAGGCAGTGATTGATTGACATTTAAGACTCTAATTATTGTTATAAATATCCAGAAGATACTTACTTACATCTTCAGAGGTTAGGGAAACTGGGAGAGGATTCATTTAAAAGTTTAGAGAAATTAATTTTTATCTCACTTCCGTTTATCCCCTTAATTAGGGGGCTAATGTAACTGTACTGAGCTCATCTTCTGTATTCTGACCAGGGTAGGTAGGAGGTTCTCCAAGTATTCCATCCATTTATCTTCAGCATTTCTCTTAGGTTCCATTGTCCCCTGTGCTGTGCCTTGTGTTTTTCCACTAATTGTAGAAGGTGCTTATGTGGTTAGCTCTGACTAAACTAACAAATTTCATACAACTGAAGTTATACAGCATGAATTCCAGGCTAAATGGCTTGGACTGCTGTGGACTGTCAAATGGACCCTTGACTCATGTTCCCTGATTTGGAAATTGACTTACCTTACAGCTTTTACAAAATTGAACTATGCTATTGACGTTCATTATTTTATTACCGAAGAACTTTGGGCAAATAAAAGCTCTCGTTGTCCTCTGATAGTTGGAGACTATAGACATAATTCTTAATGTAATATCTATCTTGTAACCTTTCTGGAGTTTTTGCTATTTGCTGGATCCAGTTTTCAAACAGCATATAAAGAGAGAACTTACCTTGCATTTCTGTTGTAGGTGTGGATTACAGTGTGAAAACTGTCACAGTAGATAATACCCAAGTAGTGCTGCAGCTCTGGGACACTGCTGGCCAGGAACGGTGAGAACACTAGTAGTCAGCTAAGCTGTGTAGCTATTCCTTCACTCCCCCATTCAGTGGGATGGAGGAGAGAATTGGAGGGGTGAAAGTGACAAAACTCCTTGTTTGAAATACAGACTGCATGATGGAATTAACTCTATCCCAATCAAAACCGGTATACATTTGGAGGTTTTGCGTCCTTGAATCATCTGTTTGAAGATTAGTAAGCACGGACCTAATCCTGCTTCTCAGGAGAGGAACAAATTCCTAATAGAACCAGTTTAAATCCTTCCCTTGCGTCAATAGTGTGCTGATTTGCTGCAAAGTCCATTGAGAAACTGCCAATCTGTAAAAGAGATTCTTGTTTGAACTCTTAAAAGTTTAACACCGCACAGTTTCTTTAGGAGGAAAGACTGATTTTAAAATGAACCTAGATATTATTTATATGGCAGAAAATTTCTTAGCAGGTAACAAAGAGGGTTTTTTATCAAAACAATCCCGTTGTAGCCGAAGAACTCTAAATTTCTTTAAGTTTTCAATGTATTTTTTTTCCCCATCTCCTCACCTGTTCTGTAGTTTTCTGTTACTAAAGAGCATTTAGTGAAGGGGAAATTTCTCCTCCGATCTTAAAATAAAGAGTGTGGGAGAAGGTGAGATATGCAGCTGGTTATCCAGCTTAACCCAGAATCAATTAAAGAAGGCAGGAAGAACTTCTCCAAACAGTTTCTTTTAATTTTTTTTTTTGTCTGCAGTGAAAATCAGTATTACAGCTTCTCTCTTGTCTAGTTTATGGAATTTTAGAATGCATAGGTGAACCACATTAACAGGGCTTTAACCCTTACTAAGGTGATGATCAGAAGAAACTCTATGGCAGCATATTCCTTTGGGAGATGGAGGGGAGGGGGAGGAATTACTATAAATTTTTCTGTATCAGACTACTGCTTCTGTTGAAGAGAGCTATAAACACATTCTTACTTGTAGGTACCGAAGTATTACCAAGCAGTTTTTCAGAAAAGCTGATGGTGTCATTGTGATGTACGATATAACAGCAAAAGACACATTCACAGCTGTGAGGCAGTGGCTGATAAGCATTGAGGTAACGTGACATAACTTTAAATCTAAACTCTAGTGTCATTATTCTCTGCCTTCTTCTGAACAAGGGCTGTTAGCAGGGCAAATCACAGAAAGCAGCATGTTTCTTGTGTTGCCACAAGTACATTTCTTCTAGTGAGTTTGGTCTGCACAGTTACCATTAAAGGTGTTTTTAATCTCTGTGAAAAAAACCCCATAGTTCCAGGCTTTTAAGGACTTCAGATATGGGCGTGGGGAAATCTCAGCGTGGAGCCCTCTGATTTCTCATAAAGGTAATTTATCTCATGACTCCCATGGGATCACTGCTAGTGTGAGAGGCGCTTTGATCAGTGATGGTGATCTGATGATCACTGATCATCACTAGCAGTTTGACAACCAAGTCAAACCATGTAGCTCATGGGAAATTGACCATATTGTGAACATAAGCCGTAAACTTAAAAATACGGTTTGAAGTGCTACAAGGTACTACATTAGTGCTATAAAACTATCTCATGATAGACAGTTCAGTTTCCTGGAAATCATTCTTTCAACCACATGAAAATAAAATCCTAGACCATCCACTGAGTAACTTCAGTAAACTAAAAATTAAAATGTGCTAAGTGTGTAAGCAGCTGAATTTGCTGGTGGTCAGAACAAAAAACCAAAACTCAGGCTGCTGCCATAAAGGGCTGAGTCATAGCGTGAACAAAGTGTGACTTCCTGTTTGTTCACTGAAAAAGTAAGGGACAAATTGATATGTAAAGATCATTTAGCCTAATTTTATTGGCCATGCGCTCTAATATAATACTCTGTTTTCCATAAAGACCAAGAAGTGGCTTTGTGAGTTCAAATTAGGACTCAGTCATTCAAATGTTTCCAAACAGGCATAGTTATGCCACATGAGTAGTCTTACTTAAGTAATGTTAGCATGCATTTGACAAAAGCAGGCCCTTATTAAATATATGATCTTAATAAATCAGTGACTTTTAATTCAACATGGTAAAAGCTAGGAGAGCTTTTTAGATTTTGATTCAGAAAGATTGAATATTGTGGTTAAAACCTTTTTCCAAGCTGTAACAGTTCACTCTTCTTTACTGACTAATTTTGTTTGCTGCAAACTGTTGCTAAGTTGGACATACGGCCAAGTCCATTTACTGCTGTAGCATTCAACCCACTTTATGAAGGCACTGACTGTGATAATTATAACCCTTTTCAGAATGAATTTTGATTTCTGTCTATTCTCTGTATTTTTGGGGGCCTATTCTGTGTATTTCTCCACTGTTTCATGTAATTCATTTGGCATAATTGTACCCAGGTGTTGTCATTATTTTTCTTGGCCATGTAATTAGAAAAGCAATGGCAATAAACACACAATGTCTGAGCCTGTGTAGTATGGTGGTTTTCTCTCTCCCATTTTAATATAGTCTAATGAGCTTCTGTGCTGTTATTAAAAAAATGCCAAGCTAGTGTAATCTTAGCATTCTGTCTTTTTCATGTCTTTTATCCAACTTTAACTCCTGACGTGTTTGCAAGTAAAGTGCCACATACCTGGCTCATGTGTTAAATGGCTTGTCATAGTGTGACATTTGTTAGCTCTTATCCTCTTGATCTGTGGTTTGTTTTTTTTTTTTTTAAATACAAGGCCTCACTCAGCTGATATTTGTTCTTTATTCTGCAGGAGGCAACAGGGGAGAACGTGCCTGTCCTTTTGTTGGGTAATAAAACTGATAATGAAAAGGAACGTGAGGTCCCTATGGGAATGGGAGAGCATCTTGCTAAGGTAAGGTTCCCTTACAAAGCTTGAAGGTGAAGATTTTGAAATGGAGTCTCAGTGTGTCTAAATTCATAGAAACACAGATTAATTTTGATCAGATGAGTATTTTTAAGGATTAGGAACCCCATCACACTCATCAGTTCAGCACTCAGTGATGTAAGTGCTGATAATTATAGTAGTTATAACACTGTCTAGATTAAAAGAAAACATCCCAAAACCAAACCAACCAACAGAACAACAACAACAACAAAAAAAAACAACACAAAAAACACCCCAAAAAGTGAGTAGAGAAAAAAGTAATCTAAGAGTTTGCTCTCGTTGTATCTCTTCTGTCTCTCTTCTCTTTTTCTCCCTCTTTTTTTTCTCCCTTTTCTTTGTGGATGGATTCTTAAAAGAGAGATAATTTGGGGACCTTTTCTCCCTCCTACCTCCTGTAAAACCACAGAAGACCATCTGTTACTCCTGTGGTAGGAGTAGAAAACATGTTTACTTTTAGTAACTTTCCATCAAAGAGATAAAATGAGTTAGCATTCTGCATCTATCACAGCACTGGTTATCCATGGGCATAATTTAAGCATTAAAGGGACTGCAAATACTGGAGACTTGTTTATACTCCTGTTTGCCATGCCTATCAAATTTTCTTTTGAATCTTTCTATGCAGTGTGTATAGTTTGAACATCAATGCCTGCAGAATATTCATTTATTTAATAATAAGTCATTTCAATATTCCTGAAAAATTAACTGAATATACCTAAATTACACAATGTGCTGGATTTCACATATTTATGTGTTTCTCCTTTGAAAACAGATTTACAGCTCTGCTTGCTAGTAACCAAAAAGAGTGTTTTTGAAAATTGAAATGCAGCTGAATTTTTCTTGCAGGATAGATTGCTGCAAGGCACCTCTCTATAACTGAAAGAATTAGGGCCAGATCTCTTTTTATCTTAATCTGGTTATTCATACAGCCTTTTGAAATTGTACCTCCATGTTCAGGTTTGTATCCATTATTTTGGTTTTATAGGAGAGCAATATCAATCTGGAACTTTATCCCTCAAAGGTTCTCCCTATAGAAAATCAGCTTTATTTTCTTGTATGCATGGAAATGCTAATAGCTTTGAGACCTTGGAGGCTAGGAGGGACTCCAGGGTTTAACATTGAATCCTGCGAAAAAACAAGTGACACATAAATGCTAAATGGACAGCGAGTAGGTGTCTTACGTGTCATCTCACTCTCTAAAAAAATTGTACTAGTTAAAACAAAGATGAATCATTCTAGTATATAGAATTCACAGCCCACCAGGCTATTAATTCTAACATGTCATGCAAAAAAATAAAATGTTTTGCATAAGTAAAACAAAGAAAGTTGTCAAATAAGATGGTTATAATCAAATGAATGGATCTGAATGACTCATTTGTGTGAATGTGCTGCCTGAGGTAGTTAAGGAATGATTAATGACAATGGATTAGTTGAAAAGCAGCATAGATATAATTAAATTATAATAATTTGCCTGCTGAGCTAATAATAACCATGAGTTTTAATGAAATATTAATTCTTGCTAAATGACCATGTAATTCTTATGAAACCACATACCACTGTCTCTGTTAGTGAACGCAACTGAGCTACCTATTTTGTGAATAATCACTTACAGTGAATTACTCACAAATGATCCAAAATACACAGGACTGGATGATGAGAAGATACAAATAAAACCATATTTGGTGAAAACAAGCTGTTCTTGTGCAGACAAAGAATCAGATTAGCCTGTTGACCCTGAAGTCCGACAGTTTTAAGGACTGTTTCAGTGTCTCATGGGATAGATTTGGTTTGACCTAGCTTTTTCTGTAGTCAGAAAGAAACGTGTACTTTCAGAGTCCATTCCAGCCCAGCTGTGTTAACCCTTGTTTTGCTTCTTCTCTTCCAACACCTTGTAAGTCAGTGTACTACAAATTCACGTAACTCCTTTGCAAGGCAGGCAGCTCAGTTCATTGTTAAAAGGAAGAATGGCAGCCTGAAGAGAGTCCTTGTCATTTGAGAAGTCTGGTAGTTGCAGTTTGTGTTCCACCTTGTGAAAGGGAAATGGAATGACCATAGGGATTGTGGAAGTCCATTTGACTTTTTTAGACAAGGATCCAGAAAGAAAACTCCATTTAACAAATTTCTGTTTAGCTTAGCTTGATCTGGTGTGATCAGGAGATCATATAAGCACAACAACACATAGAGTATCCAGACATCTTGTGAGCATCCAGGAACAGCTAATGTTCTATTTGAATGGATTAGTGTAGCCACTGACAATTATTAAAATAAAATGCTTTATGATAAAGGTGCGGCTCAGGCATGCTCATACTCAGAATGATTTTATTTTGGCCCTGCACATATTTCCTGACAGATCTTAAATGGGTCAATAAATCCTTCTCTGTCACTCTTCCTCGGCTATAAAATAAGATAGTAATGCCTTTGTCTACCTTGACTGCAGACTATATATGCTTCATGGGATAAGGACTGTTTCTGTGTGTTCATACAGTGTCTCCTTTGTCAACCTGTCAGTGGCATTGTTACATAAATAATGCTAATGAGGGAGCTATTCTCAGAGTGATGCTACTTTACAGGACAGAAATCACCCAGCTCCCCTTGGTAATAATTAATTTTCCTCACTGTTCTTTAGATGTCTGCTGATTTGTAGGTAAGTTTTTAAAATAGAGTAATTGGCAGTGGTTTCCAAGGTTCAATAGCTAATTCTTGGATGGAGATGGATGGCGTTCCCTGGCTTATTCATTATATGTGTCCTGCCTTCTGCTACTTTGTGCTCCTTGTGTATGCTATCAGTTAAAGTTTCCTCTTTGAATCAAAGGAATGACACTTTGCATTTCCAGACTGTCTCCCCTTTCAGAGAAAACCTTTTGCCAGACAGACAGAATTAAGCCATTATTATCAATTGAGTTTAAATTACTCTCTTTCCACCCATGCAGTTTGTTGAAAAATCCATTCAGATTCATACCAGTGTAAATGATGTCATCACTGGGACTTCTCCTCTAGTGACATTCTGTTGTATGTGGGGAAGATGTCAGAGGAGTATCATCACTCTCTGCTTGACTGACATAAAGTAGCTGGAAGCTGACCACTGTGAGTTTTCTGTTAGAGTCCTGACCAGCTCAGAAGAAAGAAGAGAGTGTAAATTTTATTTCAAACTTCTGTTTGCATAGCTAGCAAGAAATTTGACCCAGTCAAATTTTATCTTAAACCTTTCCTAAGAAAAGCAAGAGAATCATAGGATTACGTAATTGTAAATGTTATACAGAACACTGGTTTAAAAAAAAATAAAATAGCTATCCAACACTAACATTGCCTGATTTCTTCCTTCTCTGCTCTTCTGTGCTTATCTGGCCATCCAGAAATTCCTGCAAGTGGTTCAATCCTGTTTTTTACTAGAACAATGTAACCATTAACAACATATTCAAAACTAACATGTTAACACTGAAGGCCTTTGTTAATGATGCTAAAATAAACTACCATATTTATGACAATTCTTTCCTCCACTTCTTGTCTCTGGAATTTTGTGAAGACAACAAAAATTTACAAAAGTTGTGTGAGATTTGAAGCATGTTGTATGTATGTAAAAAAGCCTAAACTACAACTGGAATACCTGGTCATTTTAATGGGAACCTTTGAAACTGAATTGTAAGTGTCTTATGAAGAGTTGTTAAATAAGTACTAATGCAGTAGCCACAGTTTATAACAAACAAATGAAAATTTGCAGATGTGATTGTTATTTCCTAAAGTACTGACTTATTTATTTGAATTTTAAGCTAGTGCCATAAATAGCAATAAGACACATAGAAAAGTGGAAAGTGAATAGAACCTTGAAATCTGGATGGGTAAAAGGACATATTCTAATACCACAGAGGCAGTGTAGATGAGCTGTAATGTTGTATGTTGTAAAGTTAGACAGATGTCCATTTTGGAGGATTATCTGTCATTCCCTTTCAAACTTCTTTGCAGTCGCCACTGTCAAGTCATGCTTTTGTGCAGACAATCTCTTGCATTTGCATTTATGGTGATAAGACTTCAGCTGAAGTGATGAGAATCTCTCCAAGACTTGATCATTTATTTACTGTTCTTAATTGCAAAGCTCCCAGGAGGTACAAAACCAAAGGTGCAGGCTGACTGCAAGAGAAGGTGCAGTAAAAAGTCACATGTACAAAAAGATGAAACAAAAGTTACTGGAATGCTTTTCACCTGCTTTGTCCAGCACTCAGTGATGTACTAGTTGCCTGAGTGTCACCAGGAAAGTTCACAAGACTTCAGTACCTTACAAGGCATGTTTGTATTTCAGCTCTTACAGCCAAAGCTACTGTATAGAACAAATATCTGCTAAGAGACTCATATGGTTGTTGTTTGTGACCAGTGCTTGGATTTCTTTTGTTGCTCTTTACTGTTAGTTCTAGAATTAAATCATAATTTTTCCTAAGACGATCTATTTCTGTTTCTTTATTTGCATATTTCAGCTTATCTGCATTGCTTTTTTAAAAACTGGAGTGAGATATTGTGCAAAAATAATTGAAATGGTCTTTTTGTTTGATTGTAGGATTACAATTTAATTTTCTATGAATGCAGTGCGTGTTCTGGGTACAATGTGGAAAAGTCTGTGCTTCACTTAGCTAGGTAAGAAAAACACAGTCTGTAAGTTCATGTGCCTGACTGCCCTGCCGTTGATGACAGAGTGAATTCTCTTGGTTAAATCAGTTCTGTAGGAACTTAGAGAGATGAAATATTTGTTCCTTTTAAACTGGTCTGTAGCCTGACCCTATTGCTCTGACTCTTTATGCTCAGGTGCATAAAGACTCCTATGTTAAGCTAGGGAAGCTCTGTATAGATCCAGAAACACATGAATTGTTGCTAGGAAAGCCGAGGGCCTAGGATGTTGTGATAGGTCTTGCAAGAATGTCTTGAAGGTTTGGAGAAATAAACTTGAAAATGAATGCTGCTGACTCCTTGCAGCAGGACATTGGATATGCTTCTTCCCTCTGCTCATTACAGCTGAAGTTCTGCTGTCTGCCCAGGGGCTGGGAGACAGGGAGAAATGGATTTTTGAAGTTATATAAAGGCTAGAGGTAAAAATACAGGAAAATATGTCCCCTCTGAACTACTTACAGAAAAGAAGACAATGGTAATGAGTTGGCAGATCTTTAATATTGTTGCTGAAATGAGTGAAATTTTGTGAAAATGTCAGGTAATTGATAAGTGTCTAGGTAGCTGGATATGGTTTTGTTTTGTTCTGGCCTCAGAAATAACAAATAGAAGTCACTGTTTTGAGTCTCCATAATATACAATAAATGCTAACAATCAGCACTAACTAAATTTTTCTAACTAAGTGAATGAAGGCAGTTTTGTGATGGAACCACCATAATTGTACTTTTCTGTTTGTTTGTTTGTTAGTTTGCAATGTTCTATCATTTTCTGTTATTCTCTGGACAATTTTATAGGCTTGGGAAAATGCTTTTTGTTTGGTCTCTTATGGGTATTATTGGCTTTTTTCTCTAAAGCATTGTTTCTTTCCCCCAGGTTTTTAAAAGAACATGAAGATAAAGTGAAAGAGAAAACCATTGAACTTCAATCTGATACGAATAAAAAGTCTTGCTGTATCAGGCAATAAAATGCTGGGGCGTGTCATACGCTTATACGACACTACATAGCACTGTCAGATTTGCTTTTATCTTCCAAATACTCTGCTGTGTTCTGAGTGTAGGTGTAAGTGAAACTTAAAATCTTTGTGTGCTCTGATCTCCACTTTTATAAACAATATCTTTAGTTAATTGACAATGTATTTGGGGCAATAACAGTCTTTTAATTCTGTTTGATGCCTAACACCACTGAATCCTGCTTTATTATCAGGCTTGTGGAAGCTGCCACTTTCTTAATAATTAGAAATAATTTTATAGGAAGAAAACTACTTGGAATGTGAAGTAAATTCTTACTGGTGTTAATGACCTGTCTTCTGAATACTGCTTATTTCAGAGCTCTTTAGATCCTGATTTTGTGCTAACCTTTGTTACAGTTTTTTAAAAATTACTATAGGTGTAGTTGTGGGTAGTACTAAGTATGTTCGGCTGACTGAACAGCTCCTTGTCTCCAAAAGTCTGTCACAGAAAGTTTCATGCCAGATGTTGGAGGTAGAATTTTCAGAAATGGCAGATCTTACTTTGAGGAAGACTTAGAGAAACTTGCCAGCGTTTAAGGAGTGAAAAATCTCACCAAAATCCAGTGAGATATTGCTCTCTTTAGCAAAGTTAAGAAAAAATTCCTCTTCATGTACTTAAACATGTGACTGATTTTTCAAAAGCATCTGCTGCACAGTGTTCCCCCAGGGCCTGATCTCACTGAGATACAGTGTTTGAAGAATCAAACCCGCAGGGACATGTTTTAGAAAATCAGATCATAAGAAACGCAAATGTCATAATTAATTTTGAAAACCTTTGTAGAATATATATGAAAAAAAGAAATTTAAGAGTGGGTCACCCTTCCAGCATATGATCAACAATTATTCCTGTTGGTGTATGTCTTCACTGCATCGAGCTATTGTGGTAAGCATTCAAGAAAAATTATCCATGATGGTGAGGTTATTTGGAAACTAGAACTCATGGCATAATTTCTTGCATTAAAATATCAAGCAAAACTGTAGATTTCATTATGTGAGACTGTTAGAGACATTGTTTTTAATTCCTTTTCTAAATGTTTTTTAAAAATTATTTTTCATTGGAATAATGAATCAGTTTGAAACTAAAGATGAATGTTAAGCACTAGCTCAGAAAGTAACTTATTTTTGGATAAAAACTTTGTTGGTAATTAATTGTGCTCTTGCGATTTCAGTCTGATCAAAGATATGTATCTAGGTGCAAGAAGTACACAATAGAGGTTTGCAGACTTTCCCCCACAGCAATTTCTATATCCATACCAGCACTCAAATACCCTTTCCTATGAGTTGGGATCCAAACATGAGCCCTTCCCTATGAGGTAAAATAAGCAGGGTTTTAATTTTACTACTGTCAGTAATGATGGATGAACCAAGTAGCCCAGGATAAGCTGATGCTTAGGAGTTTTACCCTTGTTGATTCTTGAGAATCTGCTCATCCAAATAAAAAAAACCCCTTGGTTTCAGTGAGAGGCCTAAGAAGCTGTAAACCACAAAAGGACCAAAATTAAACATCCATTACTGAAAATCAGTAGGCTTTCTGTTCACTTCCCAGGATTGCTTCTTGAAACCATTACTGCTTGTGGAAAGATGAGTCATGTTATCGAGTGTTGCATATTATCCATCATGGAAATCTTCTCAGAATTGAACCATCTGTGTTCAGTCCTGGCTGAAGCTGAACTAGTGCAGCCCCTTAATTTAAACATCAACAAAACCAACTCTTTATCCCAATTTCAATTAGGGAGGAAGTGTCATCAGTTTAAATATTGGCTGTGCTAATTGGCTTTGAATGATCTGTTCCCCTGCAGTAGGGTATTTTCTACCTCATCAACATCAGAATGGCAGTATTTCCTCCAACCTCTGTCAGCCTCAGGAAGACAGTTTGAAGGCTTAATTTCAACTTTACTACTCATGACTCTAGCCCCACAAGCCCCCAAATTCAGATCCTTAATTTTTTATTCCCTTGAAGTTCATATCAATTTTGAAGGACAGTGACAGGTGAGGTGGATTTTCTTTATGTGACTTCTACAGGATCATTTTTATTTGGTCTTTTAGTGTGCATTGAGACTCTGCTAACAGGGTATACACAACTTGAGGACAAACAATGCTAAGGAGCAGCTGAATCCTGTGATGACAGGGATTTCTTCTACTAGAGACAAATTTGGTGCAGTCTAAGACCCAGGCAGTATCTTCTGTTTCAGACTGATAGCTGTGGCTGATGATGTTCCTTTTTGCAAAACCAAAGCCAAAACTCAAGCAGAATACGTATTGCAGAGGTGCAGATACACACACAACACTAACATCATCAACCACACAGACAACACAGAGATTGATGTCTTCACTGCTTGTCACTCAACATATACACAAACATCATTCCCATAAATAGGAGCACAGCCTAATCCTTCTCTTCTATTCCAACAGATCAAGATTGAAGTTTGCTAATGAAAATATAGATGTACACAAATCCTGTGACTTGCAGTGCTCTCTCCCTCTCACTCTGCCCTCACCCTCTCCCCAGAATCATGCAGAAATCTGGTAGAAATAAGGTTTAGAAATAACTGGTCCCTTTTACTCTACCTTTTCTTGATTTTTTCCCATGCTTCCACCATCCACCCTGACCTCTCCCTTTCTTTGCCCTTCGTATCTCAAAGAAACAACTTGTCCCCTATTGCCTTTTCCCTGTTAGTCTCAGGTTTTCTACATCTGTACCCACATACATATTTCTTCTACCATTTCCTAAGTTACCTCAGCTTTACAAGCTATTGGTATAGTTACTTAGGTGCTTCTGGCCTTGCAAGTTTCCACTTCCAAAAGAGTCCCTACTGTTCCATTCCAATTACATGTGAAGTTACTGCGTAACTCCCCCTTCTCTACCTGTCAAGTCCAGCCATTGCTCACAATGCTGTCTGTAACTGTGACCAGCGTCTCGCTCTGTTATTTGCAGTGTTCAGAGTTGCTTGTGTCATGCCCAGAGTTTTTCATGGTCTGTTTGATTAGCTAAACCTCAGGCTAGGGCCTAGTCACCTGTTAGCACACCTGAATAAACAGAACTTATGGATTGAATAATGCTTACAGAATACAGGTATGAATAACATGTGAAAGGACTCTGGTTTTGGACAGATTCTACTGTCCAGGTGGTCATCAGACCGGTGTGGGAATTGTCAGCTTTCCATTGTCCTTGATGCCATCTGATCTCTGTTGCTGGATTGCTGTCTTCTGACTCTTCACCAGGGTTTCATACTTCCTGTCAGTATTTTTCTCAGATCTTCAGAAATTTAATACTGGTTTATTAGCAGTTAAACTTTCTTTCTTCCCTTTTCCCTTTTCCTCCCTCTCCCTCTCGCTCTCCTTCTCTCTTTTTGAATTACCTTTAGCTTGCTTACAGTCTCCCCATCCACCTTTTCACAAAAGCATTTGGAATGAAGATAAACCAAGATCATGATGCAACTGTGCATCGTGGCCTCTGGGTCATGGAGTCTTCCATGAAAAAATTCATGGGTGGTGTAAGATCAGTGACAGTAGTGTATTCTTTTAGGGATGTATAAGGTCTTGAAAATTTCCATTACTAGAATGAAAAGTACACACAATAGAGAACGAGAAATTCTGCTGAAAAGTAGCTCCTTATGCTCATCAGGCTTCATCTTCTCAAGTTCACTGATGTAACTCCTTGACTCAGGAATGTTTCTTCTGATGGCACCCTGTGTACAGTAAATCAGCTCACAGGCAGCATGCACCTACGTAAACTCTTAGAGAAGATGATGACTTGGTAGGAGAAAGTGGGAGGAATTAATCTCAGCCTGGTCAAGTACCCAATACTAACAGATCTTTGGGTATCATCATGCACACTACAGAGTGTATTTGCATGGATATACAGTGCTCCCTTTGGAATGGGGAGATCATGACTTACTGTGCGCCAGTCAAAAGTGATTCCAGCCTGCCCAGATGCGAGCCGAGCAACAGTGGAAAAAAATCATTGCACGCCATAGACTTACTGAGAGAAGTGTAAAGCACCTCCTCCCATGACATATTTTTGGAGTAATCTGCTTAAGGTGGGAACTGTTCCACACACAAGGAATGTGTGAGGAACAGACCACGCTGAAGAAAGTTTGCCTCTGAAAGAACTGCAGTCAGTGGTCACTCCCCGTGCTGGAGCAGGGACAAATGAAGAACAGGACAACTGGAATCCCTATGCCCAGGACAACTGGAAGCGTTGGGCACTGAATGGCAGAAACCATATCACTTGGTTTGGCGCAAGTGTTACACACGTTGCCTGTTGGCTCACTGGTGAATTCTAACAGAGTGTAATAATAATAATGGCCAGTCTTCGCGAGTGAAGATCTGGGGAAGGTCTTTACACCTTCCAGCCTGCGCATTGGATTTTTTAGGTGAGACACAGTGTGCGCGGAACTGAGCCCACCCTTTAATCCTAAGGTTCATCTGCTGGGGCCAAGCAAGCTTGGACGGTGGCAGCGAGGTCCTTAGGACGTAGATGGGTTGCCTTTAAGGCTAACGAGCTCCATCTGCCCAGGAGTGGCCCTGACCGGGAATCGAACCCGGGTCTCGGTGGTGACAGCGCCGCACCCTTAACCACTAGACCACCAGGGGCTCCTAACAGAGTGTACCTCACTGTGGAAATAAAGGAAACTGAAATTTGGGAGCAGAGCAGAGGAAAAAATGTACATGAATATTTTTGTCGAATGGTCTGCATTCTTTTTTTTCCCCAGAACCTGAATCATCGATAAAATATTTGTGTTGCTTCATTGTAAATTAACTCAAGTAAAATTTCCCAACTTGAGACCGTTTTTGTTTGAAACATCCGTATATTGGCAGAATTTCTCACCATGTGAGATTGTTTTGGAATAAATCCACTTCATCATCTGCACAAGTGGAAGCTTGTTTTAGAAAGCAGAAAGATGCTCATAAAGCTAATCAGTAGCAACTTCCTGAATTCATCCACAGCTGTTGAAATAATGGGTCTTCTTGATTATTGAAATTACAGGAATTGCAATAGCATTCTCATACACTCCTGAAAAAAAGAAAGATGGACACTTTGACCTGTTTACACCTCAAACAACTAAAGTTCTTTTAATATAAAACTAGTAAAAGACAACTGATTATTATATGATGAAAATAGGCTTTCAAGGGAAAAAAATCTGTAGGTTAAATTAAGAGGGCAGGTATAAAAGTTCTTTCCTATTACTAATCTGAGATACTGTATGTAGTGATATTGATTCCTTCCAAATGTACTGGAAGTTAAAGGACGTCTGATTAGTCAGATAAGCATTGCTTCCTTCCTTTCAAACACTGAAGAGGAAAGCGTTTCAAACAAATCCAGCTACACTGCAAAATGGTGTTTAGCTTCTGAAGTCATCAGTCTCCTTCCAGTGCCTTTTCTGCAACATGCTTCTTTGGGGCACAACAATCATTGCAAGTCTTCCTATTCCTAGAAGAATCCAGATTCAGAGGAACTTTCTCACTGGAAATTACTGGTTTTCACTAAAACCAGGAAGTGAGTAGGGAAGCCTGTGGAACAGAGACATTCAGGTAGAATATTATGTGGCTCTGAGTCTTACTCAAGTACTCACATTACTTGAGTTGCTGTTTGTGTGTATGGGAGTAATGAACAGTGAAGACTCTGCTGTGTTGTCTGTGTGGCTGATGACATTATTGTGTTATGTGTGTATCTGCACCTTTGCAATATGTACTCAGCTCAGGTTTTGTCTGGACTTGCACAAAGGAACAGCAGCAGCCAGAACTGTCATACCTGTATGATATACTGTGTTGTGCCTTGTGTTTTATCTTGTGCCATCTTTAGCCTTTGCAGAGCAAATCAAGTATATGAATCATGCATGTTATATTACTGTGTCTGTATAGCTGCCGTTAAAGCTCAGGTGCCGTTTTCAGGGGGTAGAGTACAGGATAGGTTTGTGACCATCCCTGCTAGTCATTACTCCTCCATTTTACCTTTTCCAAGACATTAGAACTCTGTAGTAAATGCTTTTAAGTTACTCCCTTGTCAGAATCTCAAGGGGAGAGGGGGGTGAGAAGACAGAGTTCTCTACTGCATTAGTGAGCTGAACTAGCCCAGCAAAATCTGGCAAATATCAGAGTTAGTGGGAGGATATGGGCGGAAAACACAGCTAGGATCAGAGTTTTGAGAGAAGAAGTCTAGAGGGGTGGGCAGCCCATTTTCAGTATCAACAAGGTGTTTAATTGTCTTATCTCTTTGTAATACCGTCTTTTAAATATGGATAAACGGAACTGGATGTGAACTAATTCACCGTGCTTCTCAGGTGGTTTCGTGGGCCGGTCAGTATTGCTGCAGCCAAACACCAGTTTGCATACTTCTGCTAGGGGCTGAAAAGCCTCCAGACTACCACTGCACAGCTCAGAGGTAAGGCACTCAGCTTGAAAGCTGTGACTGTGAGTGAACTGTTCTGCCCTGTTCTGTTCCTGCATGGCCTCTCCCAGTTCTTACAGGTGCAAATGACTGAGCTACATTGAACTGCACTACTTGACAGTTTTGAACAAGGTCCTTTGAATCTAGCTATTAAGGCTCATCAGTTGTCATAGCAACCCCTGTATTGTATGGATTTATATTATGGAGCTGTAATAAGGCCGTTGCTCATCCCTTTGAAATGAGGCATAAATCACTAATGCAGCTTCTCAGTGACAGTGCTTCTTTAGGTATTATTCTAACAGAGAAACTGATTTGCATTAAATGACATGTCTGTCAGCAGAGAAGGACGAATGATAGGAGTAAAACTTTCTACAGGTATGCTATAGGCATTTTTTTTGTAACCGCCCTGTAAAGTCACCTTCCACACTGAAATCATTGGTGTCATTAGAAGCCCCAGGGGAGATTGTGCAAGGAATTACTAAACTCAGATAAGATGTGCAGTTTCTGCTTTCTACAGAGAAAAATACTGGCTTCTTCAACAAGAAATCAAAGGATGCGTTTATCTTCTATCATGTGGAAAACCATTTGTCTGCTCAGTTTTCTTATAGAAGTTCGTAAATCCCACAATTAGGCAGTTAAAGAAAAGTATTTCAGGTTAAAATGTTAGCTTAATTTAAAAGTACTTTTCCCATTTGCTTTTGCTTTCCATTAGCGGTTCAGAAGGCAAGAAGTCCTTGGCAGTGAATTACATTTGGTAGTTTTACACCTCTCCCCTGCATAAACATGCAAAGAACTTTTTTTGCTAAGATACGATTTATGGAGTTGTAGAGTTTTAAAAGGAAAAAAGGCCCATTAAGTCAATTTGATTTGTGTATTACCAGGCATTCCATTGCAACCAATTAGTCAGAATTAAATCTAAAACATTGTGTTTGGTGAACTTGATGTATCTCTTTTATCTGTATCTAATGTATCTCTTTTCATTTGTCTTGATTTGAAGACATTAAGAACTGACAACCTTAACTATTGAGACAAACTGCTCAGAAAGTTGGTAGTCTTCTTCACTGTTAAAAATGCTGTTATTTTCTCTATGAAATGAGTGGCCTCAGCTTCTGGCTGATATTCTCTTACGAAAGACTAAAGAGCCTTTAATATGTAATGGCAATACCTAAAGACTATAAGTCATCTATTCTTTCTCCCGTTACCAAACTGGATCAAACAGCAGGTTGATTTGATACAGTATCCTCTCTCTAGCAGTGGCCAAAACCAGATGCCTAAAAGAAATATCAATATGGCTGCAATTTATGATATTTTCTTCTATTCTTCTGATTCCCACAGCCTACTTTGCAAGCTCTTCCTGAGGATGAAATTGGTTTTATGTATTAAAATACCCTCCATTGGCTTTTCCTCTAAGACTGGAACGTGTTGAGTCTTATTTTGAACTCATATAAAGCTATCAGTTCTACAGCATCCTTTGCAAGGAGTTCCACAGCTTAATTTTATTCTTCATAGAGAACTACCTGTGTTGTTGGTGTTTTTTTTCAAATAACAAGCCCTACTAGCCCAAATAAAAAATCAGGACATCAAAATTCCATGCAATTACTGTGCCCATTTTACTGCTATGGTATACAGAAGTATCATCAGTAACTTGTTCTTAAGAAATATTGTTGCGCTTATCCATTGTGAGATTGCCTAACCAGTTTTTGCTATAGTCTCCTAGCAATTAAGATTGAACAGACTACTGTAACTAGCCTCTACATACTTTGAGAAGTCAGTACTTTACAGAATACATTCTTCGAGGCTGTATTTTTAACCCACTTTTTTAGTTGCTACAGTCATGTTATATGGTTGGGCCAAGAGGGTCTAAAGAAGAGAGAGGGAGCTTAGCAGTGTGTGTAAATACTTGATGGATATGGGGAATGAAGAGTAGGGAGACAGACTCTTCTCAAGAATGCCCAGTGACAGGAGAAGAGGCTACAGGGAAAAATTGAAACACAAGAAATTCCATTTGAACACAGGAATTAATTTTTTTTAATGTGTTGGTTGTCAAACACCAGAATAGTTTTCTCAGAGAGGTTGTGGAGTTGTCCATCCTTGGAGATACTCAAACCCCAACTATAAATGGTCCTGGAGAACCTGTTCCAGCTTGTCCTACTTCAGCAGTAGGGTTGGATGTTTTCAGGAGATTGATAAATCACAGTGGTACTTTCTGACTTCTAAAATTCTGACTCCTTATAAATGTTCCGAGTTCCATGGGACCGGCAGGATCTCCAGGCTGACTAGATTCATCCTCACTCCCATAGGCATTTGCATGAGTGGACCATAATAAAAAGAATACATGACAAACAGGCAAATAAGAGATGAGGACAGCTTAGTTGAAAAGTTTGATTTAGGTCTGGTTTTGATTTATAAGCAGGTTCCAGAATGGGAATCTTGTATATCACTAAAGTACAAGCTAGAAACATCTCAAGATGAAGGAAAAGAAACAGCATATTGTGCCAGTACTGTTGAAAGAACAAGGATGGGAAGAACATAACACAGTGTCAAATGTTCTGGCAAGCAGAAGTGAATTTTGTATTCGGACCAATGAACATTAGGTTGGAATAGTCCAGGCATTTGCTCAGATTGAGATCAGACATCCTGCTGCTTAACAGAATTCCTACTTAATGGTATCACTTAGCAATAGAATTCAAATTGAAATTTCTCACAGAAGATGTTATGTTTTAATGTCTCTGTGACATTTGTTGGTGGGACGAGTCAGACCAATTTATCTGGTCTTCTGAGTATTTTCTGATTATTTTCTTAGTTACCTCCACATCTTTACTGGTAAAGGATACCTCGACCTTTCGAATTCTGCTGCTTCCATACCCTCAATTCATGGCTCAGAATTTGTTTTCATCATGTGTTTTGTTGTCTATTTGACATACAGATTCTATCCATCACATGCTCCTGCTTCAGCTTGACAGAGCACTTATGTTGCTTGCCTACCTACACTCATCCCATAGAAAGCAAGCAAAATAATGAGCTTTTTTTTCTCTGAGATACTCTGTTGGTGGTGCTAATAGCAATTATTTTTGCTTCAATCAGATCTCATTAGCTAATGACACTGATTTGTCATGCCAATAAATGTGAAAATATGCCACTATGATGATAAAGTACTTCTGCTAACTGATCAGCATTGCAAGTTACTGTTAATGAGTTACACATGCCTTTCAGGGCTGCCATTTCATATTCCTGCATCAAAATGGCAGGGCTTCTATGATTTGTGATTAAATGCTGTTGTGACCTTAATACAGGAGTCCATTTCTGATTCTAGGGCTGTGTTGTACTGGAAATGCTGATGGTTCATGTGAGCAAATGGAAAATGGCCAGGCACAAAACCACAGAGTCAATCTGCAAAAGAGGATGTTCTGTTTTCCACATGAAGATTTAGAGGTCAGCTTAGGCTTGATTTTGCTGATGTGCCTCTAAAAGACCACATTTGGTGATTCAGAGGAATGACCTGGATAGTAGCCCTGTGTGCTCTGTGAGAAGTACGACTGATTTTGTGTTGTAGTTGTCATCTCAAAGCTAACATGGTTTCTTTCTGTTTCACAGTCACACTATAGCTCTCTCCAAGCTTTCTCAAAAAATGCTATATTTATGTTGTTTGCATCATCACTTATCTCCAATGTTTGTTTCCACTGAAAAATGAGAAAAATATCAAACATACTAAGAAAAGGGAAAATTCAGAGAAATTGTATTGGTACCTGCAGAGACTGGTAAGACAGGCAAAGAGAACAATGTTGATTGCAAAAATTTTGAGATCATAAAAACCTTTTCCTTTCCCTTCAGCTGTATTTGTGCTCTGGAATAATTCTTTGTCTAAAGGATGGGTGCTCTGCTTTAGCAGCTGTCTGTGAGCAGTGGTCTGCATCTTTCTCCATCTCAGCTGTGTAGAGCACGTCTTTTACCATTTTTTTTGTCTATCCCCAGAAGCAGCAGCTATTTTCAGGGAACACTCTTGTTCCCTGTAGGCGTACTACTGCCCTGGCTCACCTCAGTCAACATACTGTGCAGAAATATAATTTTTCTGGGAAATCTCTAGCTCATGATTCACATCTTCTTTAAATATATTGTTTTATCGGATCTGAAACACCAGGTTTATTTCTTTAGTTACTCTTCAAGAAGATTTGTAGGTGCTGTAAATTCACATTTAATTTTTAGGAAGTTTAGATCTAAAGGATTTGTCTTCCACCCACGTGCCTGTGTGCTATGGGGATTAACATCTCTGAGAAATGTTGAAAATAAATGTTTCTTCAAAAAAGACTAGAACCCTCCCACTTTTCCAGTTGGAAGTAGTCTGTGAATACTGAGTGCCTATTGAAAAAGAAATCATGTGGCTTTGTTGTATATTCAAACTAGGCAAGTGCACACAATGGCATAAACTTAGACCTTATATGCCACCCTGAAAATTACTTGTAAAATATGTCCTCAATGCCACCAACACAATGCAGTAAGAGAACCTGAAGTTGTCTTTGGGGTTATATTCTTTGCAAAACCCTTAGGTACATTTGTTAAAACTTGTGTAACAGAAGCAATATATACTTAGACTCTGTTAGAAGGAAAAAAAAGGAAGGAGGGATTATAGGTGGATATGAGGTGTAATTCATATAAAAGGCCAGGGTGCAATCATGGGTTGTATAGGGAGGAGAGGAGGTACCATGAGGGAACTAAGGTGGGAACTAATTGTATCTTCCAGTAACTAATGCAGATTACAGTGAAAACAGAGCCAGACTCTTCTCAGGGGCAAATAGGAAAATAACAAGGACCAACAGTCCCAAGTTAAAACACAAGAAATTCCAGTTGAACATAAAGTGCTTATGTGAGATTAGCCCAGCATTGGAACAGCTGCCAAGAGAGGCTGGGGAGTCTCTGTTCCTGGAAATCACATAATCCCAGAATGGTTAGGTTTGGAAAGGACTACTGGAGGTCATGTAGTCTAAATCCTGCCCAAGCAGGGTCCCTTAGAGCACATTACTCAGGTGGCTTTTGAATATCTCTAGGAAGGAGATTCCAGATCCTTTCCGGGCAATCTGTTCCAGTGCTCGGTCACTTGCACAGTAAAGTTTTTCCTCATATTCAGGTGGAACCTCCTGTGCATCAGTTTCTGCCCACGGCCTTTCGTCCTATTGCTCAGCATCTGGTCCATCCTGTTGACACCCTCCCTTAAGATACTTACATATTTTGATGAGGTTCCCCTCTCAGTCTCCTCTTCTTGAGGCTGAACAGGCCCAACTCCCTCAGCCTTTCCTCTTAAGAGAGATGCTCCAGGCCCTCAATCATCTTTGTTGCCCTCCACTGGACCTGCTCCAGGAGCTCCATGTCTTTCCTAACTGAGCAGCCCAGAACTGGACACAGCACTCCAGCTGTGGCCTCACTAGGGCTGAGTAGAGGGACAGGATCATCTCCCTGAACCTGCTGGCAAAGCTCTTCCTAAAGCACTCTGGCTGGCTCATGGACAACTTGTCCACCAGAACCCTCAGGTCCTTCTCTGCAGAGCTGCTTTCCAGCAGGTCGGATCCCAGCCTGTACTTTCTTATCTTCTTAAAGCAGGTATTTATTCTTCCTTATATACATTGGGCCACCTTTATAAAATTATCTTCTAAGTGAATGAAGTTTCTCTTGGTTATGTATAATCAAATCTGTATTTGTTAGATTATCAGTTAATATTAAATTTAAAATCCTGTAAGAAATTATCTCTGAGAAGGTTCTTCAAATTAGCTCTGTAGTAAAAGCATGCCACCTTGGGTAATACTATTGTTTATATTCTGAACTGTTTCAACCCCTATTAAAAGTCTAAACTGATGTAAAAAGGCTCTAAACTTCCTAATTTTACACATAGGAAGGTCCCTAGAACAACCTCTGCAAAAACCAAGCTAAGCCTGAATCTTTAATACATCTGTCAAGGGCCAGTTTGTGCTGGGAATAAGAAATGCATATGAGAATGGAGTCACACTGTACTGTTCTGTAGAGAACCTTGGGAATACAGAGTGGCCCTCCTAACATTACAGACTACTTCCTTACAAGCACTGCAAGTTTGAATTGCCCACTATGCCTTTCAGACCCATGCTCAGTATTTAAAGTTTTTTTGGATGTTTCTTTGTGTTTCAAGTGACAGGAAAATCCCTGAGAGGAGTTTTAATACTTTTGCCTTAGATCAGAGTCAAGGCAGAGGTGACCAGCTTTCTCTTTTCTCCAGTGCTGTACTACTCATCAGGGAAAGTTTTTTGTGTAAATACTGTATTTCAGTTTCTTTCTCATGCTCTGTCCTAAGCTCATGCTCTTCTTTTCCTGTCAGTGGGAGGGAAATTAAACGCTTTAAACATGTGTCTGTTTCAGTTGTCAGCAGTCATTTTGTCATTAATATTTTAATGTAAAGCTTTGAAAACCAGTGGCTTTGGTTCAACCCTGGAGTCCACAGGAGGCCTTCTTGTTCAAGCCTGGAGAAAATTAGGCTCAGACTCTGTGGTAGGTACCCAGACTTGCTGGATTGCTGAGCAAAACCTAAGAGCCAATTACACCTGGCCTGCAAGTTTTTGCGTACCAGTTTCACGAATGCTGACATAACAGATCCTATGTGTGCTGAACTTTTGGTGCTTTTAAAACCTTTGTAGTAGGTAACACCTATAATGGCCTTGGAAACCTGAATTTGCTTTTTGATCACTTTGATTTTAAAGACACTCAGCCACACTGCAGTAGGTACTCTCATTTCTTTTTGTGATGGAGAAATATGTGATATGTTTCAGAAATGAAGAAAAGCACAAACCAGTTTTCCAGGACTGAGTGTCCCTGAGGTCTGACTGCCATCCCAGAACTGTGCCATTAACAGTATCAGCCAGGACTTAATCGTGCAATGTTGAAGTGAATGGGCAGTTTAAGTACTAAGGCAAGGTGGCCACTGGCCACTGTTGAAGAGAGACTTTCACCTCACTGTCAGTAGTTGAAAGATGAGCCAGAAAGGGCAGTCAGTGTTCAACACTGCTTGAATGCCTCTCAAATTGGTTAATGAGTTGTCCTGATCAAGTTTGTTTTTTTTTTTTTCAGCTTCTTGACTAGTGCTGTCTGTCAGGCAAAATGGCACATTCTCTGTTAAGACCCTTGGGATTTTTTTTTTTTTAATGGTCTTTTCCTTGTTTCAAACAAGGTGTGGGATTTTTTTTCTTCTTTGTTATTCTTTTAATAATAAACTTATTAAAGATTCCTGCAGTGGGCAAGAGAAGTAGATGATTTGAAGTGCTGTCATAGTATAATTCAGGCAAATGAAGCAATAGTCTTTCTTCTTTCAGTAACAGCTCAGTGATTAGTGGCAAAGGAGAGGATGAAGACATCATTTGAGCATCTCTATATAAATGAAGGGGCCTGAGAAAAAATCTGGTAGAATTCTTTACCTTAAAATTCTAGAATCACAGAAGTGTTCCTAGAAAGGGAACTTGCAGAGGGGTTTTTCCCAGTCCATTACTGAAAGAGTAGCTGAACTGATTCCCTGAAAATGACAGCAATATTTGACAGATAAAATCCGAGTGATTTTGTGAGGAAAGTTGTTCATCTTCATTTAAAAAAAAATGAAAGAAAAGTGCTTTAAAACAACAGTGATGCACTACATTGCAAAAAGCATCTTTTACTGCTGAAATACAGTTTAATTTCATTCTACATAGATACCATGTGATACAATCCCTAGATCGTAATCTTTAGACCATAAGAAAATGGAGGCACTGTACAGTTTCTGTGAAGGGAAAATCAATAAATACAGGTTTCTAAAGCATGAGAAGTTGACAAATACTGACAAAATACATCTTCAAGTATGCTTTATTTGCAGGTGATTAAAAAGATTTTTAGGCAAAAAACTAGTCAATCTTACCCAATACATGATAGAACGATTTAGTGCCTAATGCCAGACAGACTGGAAAATGCGTAGATAGGACTGATGACGCAGTTGTTGATGAATTACATGTGATTAAATGGTCCACATTCATATAGTAAAAAGACCTGATACATACATATACGGAATTATAAGCACTTAATGTTTTAACAATAAGCGGGAGATTTTGTAAGAAAAACAAGGGGCTTAAGGGGATGGGGAAGCTACAGACATCTTAGTATTATCAGAAGCCATTGACATTTTTAAAGACATTAATCTGTTCCTGCAAATCACTGCACTCTTGAGAATAGTATTTGCAATTTAAAACTTATCTAAAACATCACCAAAAGGAAACACTAATTCCTATTTTTTTAAATTATTTTGTATTAAGAATCTTGCAAAGAACTGAAATATGGCATGGCTAAAAAACATGAATTATCCACCATTTCAGAGACTTTGCATTCATCACATTTAAATACTAGGTGTCTGATTTCAGGTCTCATGCAAAATCCAGCTATAAAAACTCACCACAGAATATTTTCAAAGATAAAAAGCTAATGTTTTTTAAAGCTCTGACAGACATCCAGTTGTGAAGGTGAATTTCAAAACTAATGGTCCACATTTTCCAGAGGACATTCAAAAATATAGTTGTTGAACTTCCTGTAAATGTCCAGCTCTTATGTACACTTTGCATGAAGTATTTACCAAAGCTGTAACATTGGATGGACAGTTAATGGAATATATCACTGCCTAGAGTAGTGCCAGAGGTAACACCATTATCTTTCCATAACTGCATAATGAGAATTAAATATTCACAAAGCAAATTCCTATTATGAAATTACTTTTTTTCCCCATGTACAATATATATATATTCACTTATATTGAATATAAGTCCAGTAATACTATCACAGTAATGTGCTGTAGTAGTCTTTCATAGTGAGAAAACTGCCCTACTCATCTTAACATGCAAAGCTTGGAAGAACCAGAAATTCACAGTAAGTAATACAATTTGTATATGCATCTTCTGCCATCCTGAAGTTAACCAGAACACTCAAGACTGTTGCTTAATTTTTCCTATGTTTGACAAAAGCTACAGTTCTGTATACTGTACATTCACAGTGGGATCCCAGCCCCCCTGTACTATCTGCAAGAAAGATCAGGTTACCACTCTCCATCAGAGTAAACATTCTAGTAGTTAATAAAATAATCTTGTGAACAGTTGCTCTTAGCTTGAAGCTCAGCAGTTCAAGACTCGATAAAATTCTCCTTTTCATCTCTCTGAAAGGTTTCCTGCTAACGCATTTTGTAGTCATTAGATACTGACATTTCACATAGCTGTCCTTTAAAATCCAAGTCTACTGTGAAATCCAGGTCACGCTGTAAAAAGATTTAAATGTAACATGTAAGTAAAACCATCAGTTTAGTGTATCAATTCAGTTATCATTGCTTGAGTTGAAAAGACCTGCAGATTCAAGAGATACCTACAGTGATTTCTAACTTCTTTTGGTTTTAAATGGTGCTAACACTGAAAAAGCAGGGTGTAGGATGTGTAATAGCATTCACCATACAATCTATGCTTAGGTCATATTTCTGTATTCTTCTTGAGGCTGATTTAATGTCCCGATTACTACTAGGAAGCTTCTGAAGTGCTGTTACCATACATATCGTATAAAAATTTCTGAAGGGTATTCCCCATTGAGATGCTCCTTATCTAGACTAAAGGGCTTTCACACTAGGGGTTACTCCAGAATAGATCTAATAAACTTCCCTGTAGTCGTTCTTTATCTTATAATGACATGGTTTTAGGAAAGAGGCACTACATAGCCCTACAAAAGGAAGCTCTGACTCTACAAGCTCTTGAAAGCCTTCATCTTTCCTTTTAAACAAGGTGGTCTCTCTGTTTGATGACATCTATCAAGAACACATAAAATTTTAGCATGTAAATCTGCATTCAGGTGCTTACTGCTGTGCAAACAAATTTGAGATATTTTATTCATTTCTGTCAAAGAAAATTGATATGCCTCAACCCAAAAGAAAATGTTCCACTCCCCCAAGGACAATATGAAGGTGGGAAACAGACTATTTTCCTCTCTTTCACAGCAAGCTGTAGCTTCGGGGCGAATGTGTTTCTTTTAATGCCAAGTTTATTTTGTGTTTATTTCTTCCCCTGTATAGTATTCCACTACTATGAAAACCATATCCAAGCTGTGTTTGGTACAAAAATGGAAAAGTGACACAAAAAAGGAAGACAATGAAATGTTAAGATTTGCTGCAATCAACAAATGCAATAGTTCAACAATTACAACTACTGCAGCTACGTCTCATAGTCTACTTACAAGTTAAAAGAAGTACTGAATAACTGACATGGAGGGATTCAACCCATAGCACAGAAATTGAGGAAGTTTTCACCTGTCGTAGTGTGAAATCCATCATGCTTTAGTTTTAGTCTTGAATAAAACACCGCATTGTTTATGGAAAGCCACAATTTTTAAACAACCCTGTCACTTGATTAGTGAGTTAAGTACATTTGATCAGTGAGTTCACACAGACATTCAAATGAATTGTGTCACTTGATTTCCTACTGGAGAGTTCTTGGGCACTGAGTGGGAAATCACGCAGTGGCCATAGATGTGGAACTGAAGTACTTACTCTTGATCATCCTATGTTGGCAGAAGGGATCTTACCACTGATTTAAGTGACAGTATGAAGAGACCCTTGCCTATGTGCTTCACAAAATTTGAATAAAGCAGATTGCAGAGGACAGACAGCTGACTGGGTGATGCATTTGAATCCTTTCTCCCCATGCTAGCTTGTTTGCAGGCTGACTTCTGTAACATTAGTACTGCTGTATCGTTGCAGTCATCAGCTCTGGTGAAGCTGTGACTAGAGCTTTTGCTAATAAACATGAATGCCTTTAGCATTCTCATGGTTTTTACTAGTATGCATTTTCTTTACTGTTGATTATAGTTTGTGATCAATAGAGTTGGAATTAGAATCAGGGATGCTGACTTACCACATTTTTTGCATTTGGTTTCATGGATATAGTTCCATAGATTTCTTCTCCTCGTCTCACAGTTAAATAGTCCTCTAAGTAGAAGACAGTTTGCTTCCAGTGAGTATAAGGAGCATCAGGTGCTAAAAAATATATATGGGTATTACTTATCAAAATTTCTTACATGTCTTGCAAATGAAATTAAGACTTGGGAACAATTGCAAAAAACCCTTTCTTCTCACAGAATGCTTTAACTTATGTACTATACTAGTAAATGTACTTTACACCAACACAATTAATTCTTCAGCTGTCAGTGGGTTGTCTTCTAATTTTTACTGGAATATGCCAGACATGAATCACACCCAGCAAGAAGGATTTCACAAAGGGGGTTACAGAGCAAGACAGGCACTTTTTGATGCTTTCCTTTCAACCCACACATGTTCAAATTGGGGAAATCTTTACCACTAAGTGCTTTGAATGTCAGAAGTCTAAATTAGTTCAGAAAAGAATTACACAAAATCATCAATAAATTATTATTTACAATGTCACAGATGAAACCTTTGATTCATGATCCCAGAACAACAGATTTCATAGTTTCCAGGAGGATAGAGCTGGTGAAAGGGTACTTGCACCTTGGTCTGGCTTTGGATTTTTAAAAGGCAGATAGTGTGGGCAATCTGCCAGAGATGGAAACTGATCTAAATTAATTTCTTGTCTTGCTTAGCAGAATCACTTTGACAGTCCTCTGCTATTTCAAACTGTAAATTATTTTTTTTTCTGATTTAAATTCAAACCTTTGAGCAGTGCCTAATGAAATTACATTGGTTACTTAGCACTTCTACCATTTCTGCAGTCAGGAGCATCTAGGAAGCTAAGAATACCTAAACAAGTTCAGAGACTTCCTGACCTGGCAAAAATCCTCTGATAAATTTATTTGTCTTCTATTTGTATCCCCAGTCACATGAGGCCATTTTATTATATCATACTAATAATATATTAACACTGTGTAATAAAATAATGATCTTATTTAATTTCAACATCAATATTAAAAAAATATTTGGATTTTGAAATTTTTTGTGACTGGGGAAATACTGTTGTTTTTTCAAAAACACGTTGGGACAGGAATTTTTAACTTCTTTTTTCCCCAAAAATTCTAGTATCAGAAGACTGATATAAACAAAGTTTTTCTCAGAAACCGTGCTGGCAAACTTGTATCTTCCAAAAGAAAAGTATTTTACCAGATAATTTCTCTCTCTGTGTCCAGACAGTTTTAATGACTCCTAATCACAATATTTTAAATGGAGAGATCTTCTTGTAGGAGTTCAGATCCAGACTGTTTACTATTTGGACATGCCTCTGTAAAACTCTTAAGTGAAAACATGTTAGATCAAAACTAAATGGAGTTTATATTTTAAATTGTAACTGCTACCTTGTACACACACATGTACATGTGTGTATACCCTTTTGCAGAGCTGTGTTCCTTAGAAAAGCCTGACATAACTGGAAACTTGTGCCCCATGAAGGGTGTATGTGTGTGGGGGTGTGGGTTTGTGTAATGTAGGCACAGGTCTTCAGGTCCACTCCAAATCACATACTTAGTTTCTTCATAATTAAAAAGACTACATATCAATCAAGGGGCACTTCATCATGTCCTACAAACTGGTATATTTTACTGAATTCAGTTTGCCAACAGACACCAGCTGAGAATCTAGACCAATCTTCCAGACAGTGGTGACCTTCAGCAACAGATGGCCAAATGACTTTTTTATGGAGTAACTTCTTCTGCACCTGCCTTATCATGATGTACTAAACAGAGGCAGAGAAACACTTCCTTCAACCTCCTGTATGCAGTCAGGCTAATACAGGATGAGGTTTTTGCATTTCTTACAACACTCTGTGGTTTATTCAGTCTGTTAAATGATGCCTTAAAGGAATGGGGTTATTCTTTTAAATTTCTGCTCACCAAGGTAAGTTAGAGTTTCACATTGTTAGAGATGATTTACATAAGCAGTGTGTGCTTGGAAAGAATTATGATTTTGTCCTAGAGTCAAGAGACAAGCAAGAGCTTTATTGAGTTTTGGATTTAGGGAAAACTAGGATGCAGAGCTGCTATCTCTCACTGAGCTGATAATTCTCTATCTAATCTGAAAACTTGACATGGGATTTAGATACAACTGGTGAGGGGCATAAACTCCTAGGTCATAATTCCCACTGAACCCTAAGCTTGGCAGCCATAGTGAAATCCTGCCTCTGTTTCTATAGAATTCCTATAAGCAGTTGCTCTTTGCCCATCTTGTTCACCTCCCCCAGAATCACAATTATTTTTATCACTGAAATTCAAACCTGGTGGTACATTAAACCTTTCTGCACCATCTGACCAGCAGAACTGCTAGACTGATAGCAACAGAAATGAAACTAAAAGAAATACAGATTACCTGTAGAAAATCCCATCTTCTTGTGGCACTTTGTAAATTCGATATTAAAATAGGTGACCAAGGCATGAATGTAATCATTACGTTGAATTTGGAGGCAGAATGCAGAAGTAAATGCCAATTCTTCAGTCTTCACTGTATAAATATCTACTTCCTGTTTTGAGGAGAAATAAAAAGGCATTTACATGCAGAAGTTTGTGACTCTCAGGCAAGTGTTGAGCGATGTACTTCAGCATTTTATTTAATTATCAGCCCCAAAGGCAACTGGCAGCCCTTTAATACTGTAAGAAATCAATGGTACATTGGAATATATCAAAAAAATAGTGAATGGTCCAGTTATCTGAGTAAGCTGACAGAACATGGCAAGACAGGCCACTCACTGAAGAGTATGTTGGGAATGGTAGGGAGGGAATCAAGGTAAAAACCTGCCTTGATGAATGCAGGCATGATGGACATTGAAATGAAGATACAGGTCCAAGTTCACAGACCTTTTGTTATCGGGGACTGTCAGCACTGAGGAAAGATGGCAGAGTTGGGTTTTTAATAAAAATAAACTTTTGATTTGTTTGTGCATCTCTGGAAGGGAAAGTGATTTGACCATGTCAAGCAGTTGAAACATTTGAGGTGTGACAGGGTCCTGCTTTCTAGTGGTAATGCTTTCTAGCCCTTTGTCAGATAACTGATTCCAAGTGGACAGTCCACAGGGATCTTACTCTTGAATAAGACAGAAGTAAATTATGTAAACTGTACTAAGTTTGATTGCAGTAGTTGGAACCAATGATGTAGTCTTTAAGATTCCATCAATGTTTAAATCTCCCTCTTCAAGGCTGAAACTGTGTTTTCCAGATGGATCTGATTTTCCCAGCTTTTGGTATTGCTTTTATCTGGGTTATTTCCAGAACTTGTAGTCATGATAAGGAGGATAATAAGTCTGCAATACTACTAATTGTGTTCTAATGCTGTGGGAAATCGGTGCACTTTTTGATATACTCATTGCTCATTCTGATACCCTCATTGCTCATGTGTACAGAGAAGTTTTGTAGGCAGAAATCAAATTTTCTCTACCAGCCTATGCCAGGAATTGTATCCCTGATGTCACCAGCATTTCTTCAGACCCACCCAGCAAAAATGGAGGACAGAGTCTAGACTGCCCATTGGAGGGCTTTTTTAGGCCTGTCTGGTTAGCATTATTGCTCAAGAACAACTTAAACATTATGAAAATTATTGTACTACATTACAATGACACCCCGAGGCACTAGTGTTTATAAGTGACCCATGCATATAATTGGTCATTTAAAGCTGTGATAGCCTTAAAATGTTTTGGGGGTTTTGCCCTTAAAAGAAAGTAAGAAAAAAGCACAGTAGGAATAAGAACTTCTGAGGTCTCCTAGCAGAGATCCACAGCAGACTGCAAAATTTGCTTTGACAAGCTAGACTGGACTGGTGAGCTGATAGCTGCAGATTTCTGTAATTTTTGATGTCTTTTTAGTGGTATCACTGTGGGGAAATTGTGACTTTAGTCTAAAAGTGAGGCACATAAAAGGGAACTAGCTCCCTCTCTCTGAGCTGTGTTGGCTCTGCAGGGTAAAGTGGAATCAAAAGAACCAGGAAATATTTTCATTAGAGAACTTAGTAGAAATTTATCAAAAATATTGAACAGATGGTCTGCCTAAAATGTTGGTCACTTTCACAGTCTTTTTTTTAAGGACAGAAACATGCCTTTTTTACTATGCAAGGTGGGAGACAAATGTGTGGGGGGTTTTATTAGTTAATATAATTTTGAGAATGGATAAGTCCAGTTTTGGTGATCTCTCTGAATTCTAGTCTGGCTACCTATATATTCTTATATTCAATTGTGCTGCTTATTACAGCTAACTGCACAGGGGACAAACACTATCATTGCATAAAATAAATGGAAAAGTCATGATTTACCAGGTTTCATTCAGGTTTCAACAACAACAACAACAATAACAACAACAAAATGGGCATAGTTATGCAGGGATCTGATAAAAATAGAGCTCTTTATTATCACAATACAAAAATAGAATGTTTTAAACTAAGCAGCAGTAAAAATGTCAGAATTATCAGCTGAATAAGGGGGTTCAGACCATGGTTGACACTGCATGAAAGACCATGAGACATCCCATGGTACATGTCCCTGTTGCACAGAGAGAGAGAGAGAGGTTCAGTTTTCACATTCCCTTCATAAAGAATGGTTCCTGGACTGTCCTGTGGCACAAATTGCTTTAGGGTTGAGCAAACAATGTATAGACGATCATTTGGAATCAACAGTGAGGTTGAGATGCCATGTTGCCAGCTACTGTGTATTTGTTGTTTGAATGGTATCACCCAGACAGCTCCCTTCTAATGGGAGAAACAGCTCTCAATCAGGTTTGCTCATAGAAAAAATGCTGACTTGCTGCCTGTCCCGTTTCTTCATATGAATTAGAATTAAGGTTGCTTCTAGAGTGCCACAGCACCTCTTTTCTGATCCCCTTCCCAGACAGTCTCCGATAAACAAGAATGTTGCGTAATTTTTTTCTTTTTTTTTTTTTTTGTGCAAGGAAGGCAGTTTGTGATTTAAGTATCATTAAACTGTGTAATCTTGAAGTGGTGTCTGATCTGCAGGAGCTGTAATCTGTACTTGGAAAGAACACAGAAACAGACTTTTTTTGTTCTTTTTTAGTTCTATGTCTAGATAGGGAAGGATATTCAGGAAAGCTTAACAGTATTTTTTATTACAAACTGGATGTGGCATGTCCTTTGTTCTTGTTTGGTTTTGTCAGTTTTTGCCAGTCTTTCATTGCAGGTTTTTCTACAGGTGTGTGAACCATGTTATTTTATTATTATTGTTATTGTTATTTTGTTATTATGTTTGTTATTATTGTTATTGTTATTTTAGTCTCTGGTGCTGATACCAAATCAGAATTAACAGGTAGAAAAAGTTTTCAGTCAATTCAAAACCATTTGTATTTTTCCGATATACAAGGGGATCAGAGAAGAAAACACAACTGTTTTACTGAGTTTGAAACAAACTTCCTTTTTTTTGGCAGTATTACTGAAAGCAGTAAGCCCTCAATAGGACATCTATACACTTATCCTGAGTTCAGTTATTGACTGATGGTTTCAAGATGCTTCGATGCCACTACGCTCCCTGGCTTGGAAGTTAAAACAGAGGACTCCCACTCCTGTGCCCCTGAGATACATTTAAGAGATCATTCAAAAGGGAGTGGCTTCCACAACACAGAACATGCTGTATTCTCTGCATACCACCCCCAGTACACCTGTGGCCTAGTGGCTAGAGTTCCTTAAAGGATTCAAGACTTATATGTTACATCCAGTTTCTGAGGAGTACAAAACAGGAAATTTTACTCAAGTCTCCAACATTTTAGCTAAGTGTCATGGTTACACAGCGTGCAGGGGCTGATGTCTTATTTTGCTGATTTTGTAGAAGAATTCAGAGCATCTAAATTGGGAATCAAAATAACTGCAGTAGCACAGGGCTCTGACTGGTCTCTGAGGAATGCATCTAGTGACTAGTCCATCCACTGACTAATGTAGAGAGAACCCAGACTCATCTGGTAGGCATCATAAGTTAGCTGGCTTTGGGTTGAATGCACCCCTAAAAATCCCTCTGTGAATCTAATATGAACAAGCTGTGCCATCTTGAAGTGCTGTAATAAAACATTTAAATAATTAAACATTATGGCTTTGTTTATTCTCAAATGTTTTCTTAGGCTAACATAATTTTCTGAATTCACAAATATTTTCAGGATGAAAGAAATATACTTTATATAAATACACCATGTGCAAAAGTAAATTAAATTAAAAAAAACACCTAACAATGCAGACTCTGTTTTTTCTGCTTCCATACTGCTAGCTTGAACATAGGCCTCCCTCCTTCATGCCTTTCATTAACAATTTTCTATTTTTTTAGTGATCAGTTTGTGAGATTAGTGACAGATTCTGGAATGGAAAGTGGTTTCTGACTGTGTAGTTATTACCTGCTTTGCTCCCACAGTGCCTCTACATGGTACAGCACCATACAATGTATGGACAAAAGATGTCAAAACTAAATATAAAACCTGAATAGAAACACTTTGAAAATTTCTGTCTGTCTTCTTAAAACCAATTACTTTCAAAACCCTTCTAAATAAAACACTTCATTTAAGGGTATGCAGCTTTTTATTCCAGAGAAGCCAACCCATTTTGTCCCTTTACCTCTTACTCTCTGGACATATTTTACACAGACTAAAGAGCTGTTTCTTTTGTGTGTATTGCAATTTTAAATTGCTCTGGCTCAGGCTGTTTTCAGGCACAACCATCCTGTGTTCCCCTCAGTGCAGATGGACTGTGCATGCATACGTTGTCACACAGAGTTTCTACTTCTGTTCCTTTCTGCTGCTTTCAGTAAAGGTTCTGCAGACTAGAGGTATGTCTTTCCTGGAATGCTTAATGCTGTGTTTGCTCTTGTCAAAAAGTGAAAGTGAAAAATTAAAACTGACTCTTTGTGATAAATGAACATACTCTTGGATTCATGGACCTGATCCTTCCACTGCTATTGACGCAGACAGCCTCATTTATGAGAGTAGTCCCACATGAGGAGGCTTCCTTCACGTGGAAGGAATTTTAGAGCTTTAAAGTATTCCTGCAGGCAGTTCCTATATTCTTAACGTGATCTTGTGAAAAGGGATCAGTGACCATTCTGTCTTATATGTAGGACAGGGTACAAGCTAACCTCTGAATGGAAACGTTGGGGATGGGAGAATACAGTAATATCCTGGATAAGGCTAAGAACTAGGAAGTTACACAAATAAATTAGGTTTCATTTCTGATCACATTCTGGAATAAGTTAGTTATATCATCAGACAGACAAGAAACTGATGCTTCCATCTTTTACTGCAAACAGAATTCATTTACCCCTTCTTCTCAGCAGCATTCCATCAGTAATTTCCAACCTCTGTTTACAAGAAGGCAGGGCAATTAAAATTCGTATCTAAAAACACCATGTCTCTCTTTATCCAGTATTTGCATATGTAAAATTTGTAAGAGTCTTGAGTTACAGCTTGCAGTAGCCAAATGAGTGGAGTCACAAGAAGCATCTTGCTTTTGGGTATTCCGTAAGAAATTAAGGTATCAATTTTCATGCTTAGCTCATGTGACAATATTGAGCATGTACAACATACCAATACTGACTAATTTAAAACTGCATGACTTTCCTTCTCAGCATGGTAGCATTCTATGATGTTGGCTTCTGCAGCTAGATAAAAGCATATAAAGATAGCAGTAAAACATAAGCAGCAGGTCTCCAAAGAATCCTACAGTTAGTTGTAAACATTCATAATTAAGTATATTTGGAATTACCAAACCTTTATTAAACAGGCATTGGTCACCACTTGCTTTGGATCTACTATGTCCACCAACGGCTCCTTCATGGCAACATCCCTAATACAGGTCATGTCAAAGCCGTACACATTCTCCCACCCTGCCAATGCAAATAGATGTGTCAAGATTAGCAGTAATAATAGAAAGTGCATTTTGTTTCTCAAAGCATCTTTCATTTGAAAGAATTTCTACCATCCCCTAATTTTCAGATTCCCTCTTTAGCTCTTTGCTCTCTGCCCCACTTGTCTTTGTCTTTATTGCTATTTTACAGATAATGCAGCTATGGTAAAATAACCCCTCAATGTACATCTTTGAAGAAGTGGCCTTTATTCTTTGGTGTCACCAAAGCCACGTTATATGAGATTTATTGTGGTTTTAGACATTTGGGAGTGTTGCCCAAAATCATATAATATATCAGGCCGAGTCTTTCGAATAGCTGTTAGGGTTATTCTATCCTTTCCTATCCATTCTGGTTAATGCTTTTTTTTTTTTTTTTTTTTTCATAGATTGCTATTCAATCAGCACTTTGCATGCTCTTTTGATTATTTAAGTAGTCTTAGTTTCAGCAAGTGAATTACTGACAGGAGTAGAATTACAGGTGTGTTTCAATATTTGGGACATCTGCAAGTACATCATGGCAGAAAAGCAAGAGAGAGAAAGTGGTGGTGCAGACAGATAGTGAGATGGAAATAACTGAAAACACAGGGTACATAAAGTGAGGGGGAAAGAGAAATTAGAGGTGAAATTAGAAAAGGAAGTGTCTTAAAGGAAAACAAAATTTTAGAAGAGAAAAAAGAACCTGAAATTTTTTTTAAGATTATGACAGGTCCCGCCCCCAAGTCGAGAACAGATGTATTTTCAGTCAGAAAAGAAAAAGGTTCAAGGTCTAGAAAGGAAAGGGTTCAAAAGCAAGGTGAAAAAAAGGTGTAGAGGATTTTAGGCCAAAATGGCTTTGATTCCTTTATGGAATGGATGCCTCATACATCCAGCTGAATCTGTACATTTTGTAAGGAATTTAGCTGTCAAGATCATCATGTAACCAAGGAGAAAAATCTAGGCTGTGCTTGAGGAGGAGATATAATTCTTCCTGGTACCTTCAGAGACTTCTTGTCGCTGCCACACTGCACTGGGCTCACTTTTGACCCAAAACAGCAAATGTGACCAATTGGCAGTTCTGTGTATTAGTACTGAATTTGATTACAGAAACACCAAACTTTCTTCTGAGAGACAAGGAGTTAGGCATTTTCATTTAAAAGTTGAACCCACTAAATTAGCACAAACTTTTGTATGTATCTTTGATTAATATAACTGTTTAGGAATTTTGTGATTTTTTTTTCTGTCCCCTAATGGAAAATGCCTTTAAGTGAAATTGTTTAGATCTGAAAAATAAATAAAAGCAAAAAAATTCAAAAGGAAAGGAAAACTGAAATAATGTAAAACTTACTCATTTCATCACAACTATTATGATGTAATGATCAAATAAATCCAAACATGTGTGACCTGGGGACAACAAGCTGGACATGAACCAGGAGCATGATCTTTTAGTGATGAAAATGAACCACATGCTAAGACTTGAGGAGTGTCCAACAAAACTGGATTTGCTTAGCCTGGGACAGCAAAGACTAATGGTGGTATCTAATTGTTATCTGCTGCCACAGAAGCAAAGAATAAGTCAGATTCATTTCTGGTGATGAGGGAATGAAGGCAAATCTCAGGAATGATATTTAGAAACATGTTTACTCCTAGGGCTGCTTCACTCAGAGAAGTGACTGCAGTGCAGGGCCCTATGAGTGACTTGCTTTAACTGTGAAATCTGGCCTGCTTGTAGCAGGAGCCTGGACTAGGTCACCTGCAGAGGTCACTAACCAGTTATTCAATGATACTTCAAGGAAACCTTCCCAACATTTTGAAAGCAAAGGAAAAGTCAATTTTATGCATCTATATATAGATGCATAAAGAAGTATATATATATATATATATATATATATATAAAGTTGGAACCCTTTTTAACATAAAAGTAAAATTGACATTTCTAATCTTTATTTTTAATTTAAAAATTCGCACAGAAATTTTTTTTATAAAAGTTAAAAAAAGCATTACATCTTGTGGTGTTTTTTTTTTTCTTGACAAGCTTATTATGGAGATATAATTTTTTCTAAGTTTATTTCTTCACATTTACAATTAAATTGCATCTTATTATTTTTCTGTTCTTGTTATGTTAAAAAACAAAAACAAGGACCTGCATGGGAAAAGAATATTACCAATTTTCCTGGCTGTTATGATAGATTATATATTTATTGAAACAACTACAAAACTAAATCTCCTATAATCCACATTTTAAATACAGGTAGGGGTATTAATATAACTCCTAGCAAAGTCTACATCAACTTACTGATGCATCTTTATGCACTTTAAATTACTGCAAGTTTCCTGAATTTATCAGCAGACTAACATGTTCTTAGTGTTCACATTTAAACTGTTATTCTGGCCTGGTCAGTGAGATTTCTTGGCTTTTGCAATCCTTCTGCCAATAAAGAGATTACAGTAAGCCACTATAAATCAAGTATTTTAGGGAAATAACCATAGGAAAGTGTTACTTACAGTGAATTTTGAAGTCCTTGTACTGTCTGTCTTCAATTGCTACCACGTACAAAGCAGCTCGGTCTGGAAACATTAGCCCTCCAGGTTTCTGTTGATGAATTTTGGGGAAATGGATCTCGTAATCTATTCACCTGACAAAGACATCACATTTTGAACTGCACATACAAAAACCAGACAAGCACCCCTTGCATGCCTTTATTGTTTTCCTTCAGATTGTCACACCAGCTTTAATCTCAGCAATTCTTGCAGCCTGTAGCAATGGCATTAGGTAGTGCCTATACAAATTTCACCAGCCAGCAGCTAATCAAAAGCAAAGCTCTTTCACTGAGTTTCCCGTTTTTTATCTTAAAGCCTAAGAAATGGCATTTGGAGATGTAACTGAATTTGATTATGGTGCCAGTAGCAAAGGCTTGTAGTCAGAAAATAAATGATGATTGCTCCAGCAAGGAGTATGGCATGCAGAGCACCTACCAGCCACTTGTCTCGTGCGAAGATGACTGTGTTTAACATTGACTCATAGAACAGACAGTAACCCATCCACTCGCTGATGATGATGTCTACTTTATCCACAGGTAATTCAACTTCTTCCACTTTACCTTTAAATATTGTGATTACTGAAAAGAGAATCCAAAGAAATACGTTTCACATAATAAAACACCTGAACAAGTTCCTTACTGGTGAATGTCAGGCTGACCTTTTCAATGTGATTCTCTTCTTGAACGCCTGTAGATAAGGGGTGACTCCATGTGACTCAATGGATTTTAAACTATTTGAAAACTACTTGCAGTAAGTATAATAAAAAGAAGTTTTAGAATCAGTATAAAAGGGGAAAAAAAACACCAAAAAACCCACCAAAAAATCAAAAAAACCCAAACCAAACAAACAAAAAAAAACCAAAGGCCAAACAAAAACGCCCCATGTTTAAAAAACAGAAAAACAGGCCTTACCTGTTCACCTACATGATCTCATTTTACATGACCTTTGAAATTTGGAAGATTTCTAGATCATTGGCCAAGTAATGCAAAGAATTCACCTAGAATCCTTTAAACATGCCTTCAGGTTTACACATTCTCAATATTACCACTGAGATATTAGAGATTACTGAACTAGGATCTCATTCTCATCTGCTTTTCAAATATATGATGATGGATTCCCAATGAGGAAAACTAGGACTTATTCTTTCCATGAATTCTGGGGATCTGACTCAACTGAGAAAGTCATATCTAGCCTGACAGTACACAAACAAGAAAGTTTGTAAAAACAGTTCTCTCATGAAAAATAACTTTTCCTTCCTTTCTGCTTCATGATTGACTCATTCATCTCTAAATCTTCCATCTGTTTTAGACATGCACAACTTTCCAGAGTTACCCAAAGTGACTGCTGGGAAACACTGTTGTCAAGTACTTTGTCACCAAATTAGTTTCAAGGAAATTAAAAAACCTGCTAGGAGTTTGATGTAGTAGAATACCAAATCTTCAGAGACACTATTACTACACAGCACATTAAATTACTGGCAATACTGTATACTACTTATAGGACACTGATTATGCCCTGCAAAAGCAAATCAATGAGTAATGACAGAACTCTTCAATACCAGAACAGATATAGTGCTTAATGGAAAACTAAAAGGTGGTCCATATTCAGTTCAGTTGTAACAAATATTTTGTTCTAGGACAAGTGACACAAGTCACCAATCATTCCTCCTTTTTTAAAAAATACATTTCCTATTTACAAATGTATTTTCAGCTTGTGACAAATACCTTACCACTTGTGTTTCCCTGCTGTTTATATTGTTTGTTGCAGTACATAAAGTCTCATGGTCCTGGATTCTTCCTTGACCAGGTAACAGATGCACTTGAAATTTAGGAATAAGGTGGATAGGGAATATTTTACTTTCCATTACTAACTGATAACATTACTCTATTATTCTTAATTAATGGCAATTTTTATTGATGAAGTGGTCAACATTCAGTTTGGGAAAGATGAAGGTAATTTAATTTAGCTAGAACTATATTAGCTGGTTAAGAGTGGAAGTGTGGGTTAAGTGAATTTTAGAACTCAGTCTAGGAAAAATGAGGTTTGTCTTTCCCAAATACGTGCAGTACTAGTATGACTCTAACCAGATGTGACCACTTTATTTGCATAGCAAACTTTTAATCCAGACTGGCCCCTTAAGAGGTTCGGAACACTCTGATTCAGACTGGTAACACAAAGTTTCAGCTGGTAAGAGCAGCCTGATTGGAAAAGAGAAGAGTTCTCTTCTCTTTGCCATTCTTTAAACTTTCTTTAAACTTTAAACTTTCTTTCACAGTACTCAGTAGTTCATCTGTTGGTATACTGAAGATTATGCATGTCTATAAGCTCCAGTCATGAGTTCTCTTTAGTTCTCCTTTCTCCCAAGAATTTTCACTGCCACAATTCTTTCGGAGTGAATTTTAGCGCTGTTGACAGCTGCCAGACACACCTGCAGACTTCGAAGCCCTCTGTTTACATCTAGAACAGCCATAGTATAAGCAGCAGCAGCACAAGTTCCTCCCACCTCCCTTCATTTTGATGAAACTTCATAAGGCATCACGTGGGAACAGATTGTGCTGTCCCCAGCTGTATTGTATCTGTTCTGGGTTTTCTCTCGGTTCAGCCCCTTTTGCTGAGTCTGCATTTCTCTAAACATTTAGGGGAAAAAAGAGAAAAACTTCCATGAGCAGCAAGATCCTTTGGCTCGGTACCTGGCTGCATTAAAATGAAAGTGAATGCTGGTCAGTGTAGAGTGTGAAAGTGTAAATGTTAGTTCAGGTGTGTAACTTGTTTATACTGGAGGCCAAACTGCAGTCATGCAGACTGCTGAACCTGTCCAGGCAAGTCTCCTGACAAACGGGAGGGGTTTCTGCTTCTTCCTCTGCAGTTTCTTAGTGACTTGCTCCTTGCAGAAACAGGAGAAAGAAGCGGAGATAAATACCTTCTGCAACCTCTGGAGCACACTGGAACCTTCTAATTTATTCTGACAGTGGTCCCTTCACACACGATTTCCGTTGCTGGAAATCTAAATGCAAATTGATTTGTGGTATGCTATTTTTGTTCCTATCTGATAAAAGGCCACTCCAGGAATATACGAGCTGTGCACCAAAGGTGCAGGAAAGCCAAGCTAATATCACACCTCACTGCTTTAGTGCCTTACCCCTACTGTGAAGAAGAGTATTTCATGGTCCTTTACTTCTTTCTTTTCCTGAACCAAAAGTTGCACATGCTGACTGGCCTCTTATATCCCATGTCACTGCTGTTTCACACCACACCCCGAATATTCATACTGTACAATAAATTCTCCTCCCAAAGAGCTCCATGTTAGTCAGAAACTGCCAGTGACAGCACTAAAAATCAGAACAAATCTAAACCGGAACAGAAATCTATTCCTGTGCCTTTGCGAGAAGAGCATCAGTGCAGACAGAGCTAAAAGTGGGGGCACATGGAACAGCCCAGCCAGCTCAGACCTGACCTGCTCTGCAGCAAAGGCAAACTCTTCACAAAGAGCACTTTTTAACAGGAGCTGTCTCACAGCCTCAGTTAAAAAAAGACTGATTTTTTAGGCTGTTACAAAGATATCTTGTGTACTGTGATTTGGAGGAGGATCGAAGGCATGAAATAGAGCTGCTTAGAGATTATTTTGTGCTACGAATTTTCAGTAGGTTGGGGGTATTTTTAGTGCGTTTTTTTAGAGTTTCCACATTCTTGGAAATTTCATCAGTTTTTTTTTTCAAGAACAAAAAGAAGTTTTCTATGATAGTTTTATTTTGAGAACAGGACATTTTTGTTTGTGCATGTGTTTTGATATGTTTTGCTAAAAACCAGTATTTTTTTAAAGTTGAAAGTCAGAAATCTTAGTGAAAAATCTATATTGCTATAGAACACATTTTTGCTTTGAACCTTATTTCAATTTGAATGTCAGTGTATGTGTGTGTGTGAATTCTATTTAAGAGATAAGTTGGAATTCAAATGGCAGAATTAATTTGAAAAGTTCAGCTCTAATATGGGATCTTCTGTCTGCTTTGCTAAACCAAACTGCCTGTCGATAAGTCCTATTTGCTTCTATTATCTGTGAACCTAGAAGGAAATGTGGAAGCAACAGTAATTCCTGTGAAGAATTGCTGTAGTGCCTAGAATGAGGTTCTTAGTTTTGTATTTATGTAAGTCAATTCTGCAAAGCTACCATTTATACATAAACCACACAACATAAATTAATCAGAGAAAGCAAAACAGTTATCTTCTCTTTTTCCTGAAGATAAAAGTATTTATTTATGCCTTACTGTTGTCCAAGTGGTTGGCCTTGATAATTTTTTCTGAGTAGTCAGATATACTTGAGCATTCAATCTGGGAAAAAAAGAAAAAAAAGAAAATCAAGAGGAAGAGTAATTTATGTGTTAAAGATCTCAGCTATGTGAATAAAACCAGTATCTACTGAAGGCAGCAAAGGCTCTACAGAACATGGAACCACTGATAAAAAGTAAATCAAACCTGTGTGTGGAGAATCGTAACCCATAATATCCTAATAATTAAATTGCATTCTGTGTTTGAATTGAACTGGCTCCTACAGAAAAGATTTAAAACTGTTGAAATGTGGGGGGAAAAAAAGGTACTAAATAACAAAATTTATATGATTTATTAGTTGCATTATTTAATTTATTCCTGCCTCCTCTCCCCAAAAATTCAGCTGAAGGGAATGAATTAGCATGGTGCTATATTTCCACACATATTATAAAACAAAATACATTCAAATTCTGTGAATAATGTTAAATTTCAAACTATGCCAATACTGGTCTGTGCCAAGAAGCAATTATTTTTCTACATGAAAATTCTATAATCTTCATCAATGCATGCTATCCCAAAAGAATGTGGACATTTTACACATAAGAAATGACTGAAATTTTCTACTTACAAAAAAATCTAGGTCTGCATGTCTTTTCCTCTGATGAGTTCTGTGCTTTTACTAGGAAGATAATTACAAAGTACCTTCTAGTTTTAGATTTGCCCTTAAATTTGGTACAATCTGCGTACCAGCATAAAAGCCCATGTTTGCAATGACCTTTACTATCTTTTAGAGAAATACTACATTCCATTAATCTGTTTTTTTGTGCCCTTTGAAAATCACGAAGGCCAAAGTTGCTTGTAGTCACTGAATCAGTTCCTAATTTACCTCTTCCAAATTTGACATTAAACTGCCAATACTACTTTGCATAATCCTTGTCTCTCTAAATCCCTATGGGAATGTCAAATAGAACTGTATTATCTCTAATGAAGTGTTTTATATATCCAGCAAATCCCATTTAATCTCTAAAAGCTAAATTGTGCCTGACCTCTCTGATAGCACTCACAGATGGCAGGACAATGGATGGAAGGACACACAAATCCCTTATTATTTTTATATTGTATATGACACGGACATAATAGCAGGCACAATATCAATCCTCGTCCCCATGGGAACCTGACTATTAATTCTACTTGCCTGTGGATGTAAACTACTCCTTAAAATGTCTGGTTCAATGGCCTGAACATAAACTAAAACTGGCTTGAAGAAAGGAACACCTGAATGTCAGTCCAGAGAGTTCAGGAAAAAAATCCCCTGGGGACAGCACCATCCTTTTGCTCCATCCAACTTCTTCCCTTTACTTTAAACTCTATAGACTCTATGTCCTGTTTGTAGTTACAGCCACTATAACATACTCATTTTGTTTCAGACACATGATGTGACTCTTGGGGATGGTCCTGTGCTGGGCCAGGAGTTGAGTTTGATGATCCTTGTGGGTCCCTTCCAACTCAGCATATTCTGTGATCCTGTGATTTTCCCTGTCTCTATTCACACCTGTCTGGCATTTTCAATTCCACTGCACACTTTGGATGATTTTTAAATAAAGCATGAGCATGTAGGTGTTTGGAGGTGGCTCTCCAACCTTTCTAAAGAAAAAAAATGTGAAGAAATAAAAAGTTCTCTTTCATGAATGACCATGGGTTTCCAAAAATCTGCTTCATTAGCAAAGAAGCAAATTAATAAAAACCTTCAACAATTTAATGTTTCATGAAGGAATAGATATTTAATAAAATAAACTTCCTTTAGGGTAGCTAAAGCTGTTCACCTGCATTTTGACTTGGATTCTATACTGTGGTTGAATTTTATTTTAAAAAGCAACTCATTTAAAAAAAAAAAACAAACACAAAAACAACGAATTCTGTAAGTGAAGAAAAAGAGCAAAAAAATCAGTGTTGTCAGGTTTTTTCCCAGTTCTTTTTCAAGTCAGTGATCTGCTCAAATCTGTCCTATTTAACAAAGCATTTGGATTTTATGAAAACTGTGTGTTCCAATAAGATAAGTTTGTACCTGAATTTTCAGTCACAGAATTACAGAATGCTTTGGGCTGGAAGAGACCTCAAAGATGAGCTAGTTCCAACCTCCATTCTACAGGCAGGGACACCTTCCACCAGATCAGGTTGCTCAAAGCCCCAGCTTATCCTGGCCTTAAACACTTCTAGGGATGCGGCATCCACAGCTTCTCCAGGCAACATGTGCCAGTGCCTCACCACCCTCATGTAAAAAATGTGTTCCTTATATCCAATCCAATCTACCTTATTTCAGATAAAACAATTGCCCCTTGTCCTATCACTACAGGCTCTGGTAAATAGCCTTTCTCCACCTTTCTTAAAAGCTCATTTTATATATTGAAAGACTACTATAAGAAACCTTCTCCTCTCCAGGCTGAACAATCCCAGCTGTCTCAGGCTGTCTGTCTTCATAGGAGAGGTGCTCCACCCCTCTGATCACCTTTGTGGCCTCCTCTGGACCCACTCCAAAAGGTCCACATCTTTCTTGTGCCAGGGGCCCTAGAGCTGGATGCAGCACTTCAGGTGGGGTCTCACAAGAGTGGAGTGGAAGGGCACAATCACCTCCCTTGGCCTGCTGGCCACACATCTTACGATGAAGCCCAGGACACGGTCAGCTTTCTGGGTTGCAAGCACACATGGCCAGGTCCCATCCAATTGTACATCCACTGGTGTCCCCAAGTCCTCTTCTGCAGGGCTGCTCTCAATCAGTTCATCACCCAGTCTGTCCTGACATTGGGGATTACCTTGATTCAAGTGAAGGACCTTGCACTTGGCCTTGTTGAAATTCATGAGGTTCACGTGGGCCCACTCCAGAAGGCTGACAAGATTCCTCTGTGTTGCATATTTTCCCTCAAGTATATCAACTGCACAATGCAGTTGTGTGTCAGCTGCACACTTGCTGAGGGTGAACTCATTCCCACTATATTTGTCATTAATGAAGATATTAATTAGTAGCGGTCCCAGTATGGACCCTTGAGTTTCTTCAGCTGTGTCTAGTTCTGTGTGTGTATATTAATTTCTACTTTCATTTTACTACTCAGTCTTTGATCTAATTCTGCAAATGTCTCCTCTTATGCTGTGGTCTCTTTCGGGTACAATCACCATGTTCCCAGATTTCCCCTGGGTTGTGTCCTCATCAGCCCCTTTTTATACAAATCAGCTAACATCTAGCATGTGCCTTCATTTCCTGTGTCTGCTTAACTCCTTACCTGCACTGTCTTGTTTGTTTGAAAATAATGTAGAATTCAGGTAGTTTACTGCAGTAACTGTCCTGAGTTTTGTATGACTAAATGTAGAAGAGAAAATGAGGAGGCTGGTTATGTGCAGCTTGTAGAATAGACCCTCCCAATTCAATAGCTATCTACAACTATCTCAAAAGGGCTTGTAGAAGGCAAAGTCTAACTCTCCTCTGAAGTGCACAGTGACAGGACAAAAGTCAGTAATCATGAGCTGTGACAAGGGAAATTTGGGGTGATTGTAGATCTGGAATAGGTGCTGAGAGAGGGTTTAGAATCTCTATCCTTGGACGTTTTCCAAAATGGACTGGACACCCTTGGGCAACTTGATATAGCTTTAAGTCAGTGATTCTACGATTTATGTCTCTTGAAGACCCAGAGATGATTCTAGCAGTTGGCTTAGGTAGTGGCAAGGAATAAGTTCCACCAGTGAATAAGAGAGAATAAGAAGAACCAGGCAGGGTAGTGTATGAATTTGAACCCAAAGAAGAGAACGAGTGAGAAAGAGGAGAGGGATTTCAGTGGCACTGTAGTCAGAAAACCAACACTCTGCATTTGTCAACAGTTCCCACATCATGCTATTTGAAAAATCACATCTAACTCTAGAGAAGAAACTGGAACATCTCAGCTCTATGTAATAACTCATGGCAAATGTTTACTTTTTAAATGGAACACTCACAGTTTCCATCAGCACTCTTTGCCAATATGACCATAAAGTCTGAATTTGACTATAGGATTTCCACTGCTAGATCTTTGCAATATCTGCTCGTTCAACATAAATATCACTCTGCAGCTTGCTCAGTTACAGGGTTCATGGTGAGGTAGCTCATGTGACAAGAAGATTGAAATTCTCAGGCTGCAGCAGAGGAATTTCACACCTAAGAGAGTTCCCTGGATAGCACACCCCCAGCTTCAGTACTGAGCAGTCCATAGGTGAGCTGGCAGTGGTGCACCTCTGAGCTTTATGAAGGCCTGAGGTACAGCCTGAACTGTAAAGAAGTCCAAAGAAAAAAACCAAACCACTAAAAAAAATCACCACCACCACCAAACATGTGGAAAAGTATTTACTTTTATTTTACTTGGTGAATTTTCTGCCAGTGAGCTGGCTCACTGTAGAATTAGATAAGCATCAGTGCCAGCACAAGGGAGGGAGGAAGACCATATGGCCAGGGATCTGAGAGATAGGAAGGTGGGAGCACAGCATCATCATTTTGTATATACTTTTAGAGCACTGCAACATATTTGCATGAGACTTGCATTTCTGCATCAGAAAAAGCTACGGGTTTATCCTCCTTGAGACTTTGAGAAGATAAATTGTATATTTGATTTACAAAAAAATACATTTTAGCTGCCAGTTCTGTACACAAAATCTCATGCTTAAGCTCCAAAACTTTTGCCAGCACCTTTTGTTTTCATCTATCTATACTTCCACGCTTTAGTCCAATACTCAGATGAGACACTCAAAATTAACATTGGATTTTGAAAACATAAGCCTGAGAATTGAACAGGAGCCCTGGCATTTCATGTATCATTACCAGTAATAAAGACACACAGTTTGGGTACTTAGTGACATCAGTGTCTTCAAATGCACAGAGGTAGCCAATTAAGTTTTAGTAAACAGTTTTTTTGAAGAGAACTACATAGAGAAATAGGATCTAGTTCCCCTTTTCTATGTTGCATTGTGTCTGCAGGGCAAACAGAAGTCCAAAGCAAAAAGAAATCGTATTTGTCACTTTAGAGTCAGTACAAATAACTGAGTATACTTAAGAAGCAAATCTATGCTCTCTCTAATGACTTCTCTGCAGACAATTGCACATTCATGCTCCTAAAGTTCAATGTATTTAAGGTAATAATTTCCTTCTGCCTCTGAAAAGCATTATTGTTGGCACAGAAAACATGCACAGGCTTTCTTGCATGATTTGCTGAGTTGTAATATGCAGGGAAAAGTGTATTAAAGAAATTTGTTTCCAAGACTACAAAGTTGCAGACCTTGAAAATTTAAAAAAACAAGATAGCTCCTTTAACTTCTCTGAGTAGGAGGGAGTCTCTTTAACAGTTTTTTTTCATCCAAGAAGATATGTGGTTATGTACTAGGTCACCAAAGGTTCCACAGATGAAAAGACATTACATTTCAACTTGGAAAAGGCACACTAGTGCAACAGAACTCCACTGAAGTCCCTGTAAATCAAGCCATAGAAGAGCTTGGAGAGAAGAATTTCAAACCAAGGCAAGTAAGAAAAGGTAAATCACCAAGCCAAATTCTCAGGTAAAATGCACAAACAAATTCAAAATATGAGAGAAAGTCTTCTTACCCCATATACCTTCTTAGCTCCTGCCTTTGCAGCAAACATGGAGAGGATTCCTGTGCCGCTTCCAACATCAAGGACAATCTTATCTTTAAAAACATGTTTATTGTGATACATTGAGTTTCTATAGGTTAATGTTCGCACTTCATCTTTTAGCATTTCCTGTGATGGAAATAAAAGCATTGTGTTACTATTTGAAGAGCTTAGACGCATTCAACACTGCTGCTGAATGCATTCCTTTGTTATCATTTAAGCATTATTAATACACAGCACGAAGGGTTTTTCAAGTACTTTGGGGTGCACACATCAAAGCAACTGTAAAATGATAGCTACTTAAAACTGAATTATTAAGAAGCAGCATGTTGCCACTTGTACAATTTTCTTTTGCTATTACTTCACTTTTACAATTGACAATCAGAACATAATCTAACCGCAGCACTGCTTTGGGAATAGACAGAAGCCATACAGAAATCCAAACGCTACTCTCCTCCTAAAGCATGCACAACCCAGAGCCTCAATGAAGGGACCTTCTGAGGTTCCTCTTTGAACATAAAAGAAATTGTTCCGTAAACCATTGTAAGACAGCAGTCTTAATAGCCTTGCCCAAAGTGAGGCAGGAAGTCAATAGCAGAGCTTAGAAATCCTGTGCTGTATGGTCCTCCCTTACAACTCTTCGCTCATTTATCTGACAAATTTCCAGAAGATACTAATGTATAACCCAGACCCCTATCTCACTATTCCAAGTTGTCATTGTTGGGTGCTGATTTTTGTTTCACTGATAGCAGCAGTACATGCATTTAATTCCATTGATACCTTGCTTTCAGGTGTGCATGTCAGTCAGACTATATCAATAAAGAGGACTCAGGTCAAGATCCAAGTGCCATTTTCAAGAGAAGTGTAGGCCACTCAACACACACTTTTATTTTCTGAAAATGCTTTTTTTGGTCTAGAAGGCTGAACTTCTGTTTATACTACTGCCATAATTTCATAGCTGAATCAAATAGGCAGATGAGGTTTTGAATTTTGGGGTAAGAAGAATCTGTTCACTGCCATGCAGTCTGAGGCACTAGTGAACTGGACTATTACATTTATCAGTTGCTCACTTACCTGTCCTGGCAGGAGACTATCTGTATGCAATAACTGCAGATGAATAAAAGGGATTTTTTAATCATCATAAAGCATGGTTTGGCATCAGGCAAAAGACAGTCCCTCAGCACTGGAAAGGTGATAGACCACATCCTCATAGAAACAGTTTCCAAACATATTAAGGTCAAGAAGGTGACTGGGAGTATTCAGCATGGATTTGGAGATGACTGACCACTTGGTATCATTCTATGGTGAAATAATGGGCTCCGTGAATGAGGGAAGGGGGGGATGCTTTTATCTTGATTTTAGCAAGACTTTCAGTGATGTTGCCCATAACATCCTCATTTAAAAATGGATGAAAAATGGACAGTAGACTGAAAACTGACTGAACAGTTGCTCTCGAGATGTTGTGATTATCAACACAATGTCAGTCTGGAGGCCAGTCATTAGTGGTGTCTCCCCAAGAGTCAATACTGATGCCTTTTGGCCTGTTTTTTTTTTTTTTTTTTGGGTGCATTGCATATCTTCCTAGCAGACCTCAATACTCAAAGAGGGCGTAATAGACAAAAAACCTGAAAACTTATCATTGACACCAGCTGCACAACCAACTGTGGACTTGGGGGAGTACTTCTTCTCAAGCCATTTTAACTGTTAGGATTGAGGCAAAAAAACACCTGGCACAGCACACCTTGCTGTTGATTATCATCCTAGGAGCTGCCTAGTCACACTTGATATGCTCCGGGTCTCACTGGTGCTCATGTAAAAGAGCAGCAGCAGTAGTCTGAGGCTGGTCTAAGGGCTGGACAAATGTCAGCAGCCTCTACACCGTGTCTCAGATCCAAATGTTTTGACAAAAGGTCTTCTCAGCAGATGGGGGCCTCTGTCCCCTGCAGGAGAGAGCCTTCCGCTGCTATTACTTGGCACTTGCTTCCAGTGCTTCTCCATGGCTCAGGGCCAACTGGTTCTAATGGTCTGTTGGACAAAATTCCTACCCCTCATCTACAATGAAGACACTGACCCTGTTCTGTAGGTAGAGATCTGCAGGTTGATCAAGAGCCTTCCTCCTGTTACCAGAAGTCACAAGTTTCCAGCCTTCACCATCAGAGGACTCTCCACTTCCAAAGCTGGTAAATATAGACTCTGATTGCCCCTCCTTTCAGCACAGCTGGGGATTTAGGCTCTTGTATCTTCAGGCTTCTAGAGAAGATCCAGGCACTCTCTTCCTCATGTGTCTTATGCTCCAAAGTCTGCCAGCCTCCTTTAGCACCTCCTTTACTTGTTGGCACAGATCCTTCACCAGTGCACACCTGCAGGCAAGGAGGAAACCTCCCACTTCCCAGCCTCAGCAAGAGGCTCCATGTACTCCCTGCATTCACCGAGACCTACATGGCTGTATCCTTCCATCAGGAGATCCATCTGATTTGAGGTCTCTGATGTGCCTTCAGAATTTCTCTTAGGTCTCCTTCCCACTCAATTGTTCCTCTCTCTTCTTCCCTTCTTGGACTGAATTTCCGAATGCTACACTCGTAAGATGTTGCTGGCAGGTAGAAATCTTACTTGCACGTATACACCCCACAAACAATTACTAGAGTAAGGGAAATAGATATTGTTTGCTACGCAGTTTGTGAAAAGTGCCACTAATTCATTTCATATTGTTGCTTTTCTGCATCCTAGTCTTAAAGATCCTGTCCTCCTGGGATTTGCAAGTATCAGTGGGGCAAGATATCACTGTCTTCTTTAGAACTGGTTTACAGTAAGCTTTCTGAAGGTAAATATGGTCCACTGTATTTTGAATTATTTCCAGGAGTGTATTTACTGGAGGTGACTGAGCTTAATGCTCCCATCAATGCAATTTATGCATTCAGAAATTCAAGTAACATGCCAGGAGTCAAGAAACTACTCAGCTTCTCATGTCAGTGGAGTAGCTGTGCTGCTGACGTCTGTGACCAAATACGCGAGAGAACAGAAGACCTAACTTAGCAATAATGTGTAATCAGGTTAGTTTGCAGCCCTCATAAATGCACCAAATTGATGCACTTGTGAAGCTCACCACTGTACAGACAGCTGCTGTAAGCTCCGAGGAGAACTCATATGTAAGAATCTAAGTGGGGCGGAGGTTTGGGGTACAGGTCTCTAGAGATCTTTGGCATTTAAGCAGATTATACATTCATCTGAGGAAAGGGAGAGGAATATAGTCATAAGCAAATGGGATGGAGATAAATAAGAAATAAGTCAAGGAAAACATAATTATATTATTGTTATAATTATTACTATATTGCTATTTAATAACTGCTGAAATAAAAATAAGCATTACCTCATGAATTCCAAAGTGAGCATAGGAATCAAAGTAATAATCCCTGGATGTCATCTCTTCTGGATTGATGAGTTTTGCCATCTTGCCTCGGCCCGGGCAGCTTGGTTGCAATGGAACATGTATGACAGATTGAACTGGCTTTGGAACAACAGTAGGCTGTGGCGGCTGGGATGGAATTGGGCAAACCTAGGAGGACATGGAATATTGTAAAGAGGCATCATTAAAAGAAAACGTTTCTCTCTGTATCTAGCATAATGATATTATTTTAACCACCTAGGAGACAGCAAGTCCAAAGACACCTGGGGCATCAAAAGTGAAATTTAGGCTGCCTTCTGTTCCTGGATCTTTAACTTACTTACTCTGCCTTGGAAAATTGCCTTAATGGATTTTTCCTTGATGTTCCTCTGCAGATACCTAAATTAGTGCAGAGTAACAGCAAATTATTGGTGTTGGCTGAAGTGGGTTACTGCAAACATTGACCCAAGGCAGTGAAGAGCTAGGTTTTCTCCTTTAGTGTCGTATTCTGTCAAACTGCCACAGCACTGTGAGAGGCAAGGTGTAATAAATAAATAGTTCCCCTGAAAAGAAGAGCTCATAATCAAAGCATCTGGAACACAGCATTGCCAACAAGGAGAACAGGGTTCCCCATCGATTTTTAATTGTCAGGTAATATACCTGTCTGTACTGATGAGGTAGGGCTGAGAATGCTCACAGTATCTGAAAGTCCCTGATGCTATCTGAAGTTTCTCAGCATTTCCAGAAACCATAGGGGGCTGTGTGACATATGTGATCCTTTAATGTAGTTTCCTGTTGTTGAGAGATGCAGAAGTCATGTGCTACCAACACACTATGGCCCACTGCACTTAATTTTTTGATACGTATTGTATCTTCAATATCAGTATTTCAGTAGACACAGAATGCTCTCACCCCTTAGACTCAGATTTGATGCCTGTGGCATGTAAGACAGAAAATCGAGTGTTTTACAAACATGAGATAAAACAACCCATGGTCTGGCCCACGTGTATATTGACATCTTTGATCCCTAACATAAAGGAAAATGCTGAAAACAGGGAATGACTGAGCAGTATGATACAGCTTCACATATGCACTAAGTCACTGTAAATTATGGGTCAACAACTTCATATATTAAGGTCAATCCCACTTAAAATGTGCCATCTCCTCTTGTACTTTTTTTTGTTAAGACTCAGTAGTTTCCCAGTGGGGACCAGAGTTGCCTGAGCCTCTCCTAGCTTCTTTCATAAAGTTCACTCTATAGCTTGGTACTGTGAAATATCAATCTGTTGTACTCTCTCTGAATAGCATCAATTAGCCTAGTTCAGTTTGCTTCGATGTAAAAAAAACAACAAAAAAACTCTCACATTTTTCCCCTGTTCATTTGAAGATTTAAGTGTGCCATCTTTTCATGGATTTTTGGTCCATCTGTGAAAAATGAATACTAGTGGTTTATGTTCCTGTAACACCTTTCATCCCCAAAGATATAGAAGTGATTTATTTATATGTCTTTTCTATTTCTGACATTTTTTACTTCATCACCTCACCCAGTTCACCTCACCCAGTTCACCTCCCACGCAGAATACAATTGCTCCCAATTGGTGTTTGTATTTCTGCCTGGTCTAGTTTCAAAATGTGTCCATCTACAGTCATTTCTCCTTGAGACACTGCTTCATTGCCTGTTCATTGCCACCAGTAACACTTTGATAACTCTTTCTGTCAAAGTGTTGCTTGTAATAGTAACCCTTGACAATATGATCCTGCTACTTTTAATTACATACTCGAGGTTATATCCTAACCTTTTTCTCCATTGATGTACACACTATGTAATTTTTGCAGTTACCTTGCTCAGTAGTACTTTCTGTATTTGTCTGCTGGATTACAAAGACTTAAACTGTAGATGTTTGGAATTCTCTTTTAATATAATATCAGCTCTCTAATATCTTATACTTTTCTCCTAAATCTTGCCCTTTGCATCATTTTAAAAGCAAAATACATATATTTATATAAATTAAAAAATAAACCCATATAGAACAGTCACTGAATGTTTAATTCTGTTCCTGTCTTAGGTAAGAAGGTCACCAGACACAAGATAGTACATCACAGGCAATTGCTCAAAAGCTACATATTGGAGAGAAGATATATCAGTTTTTGTAAATGAAAACAAGGGGGTTCTAGCATTTCTGTTGCTGTAAAACAACAAATTCAAATGTGATTTGCTGTACAACAGAAAGAATTTTCTTCAGCAAAAGACACTAGTCTTGAAGGCAAATCTTCTATATGGGTCTCAGGCAATACTTGTTCTGCTCCTGGCTGCACAGAAGGATCTAGACAGCGTTGTGAGAACAAGGCTTATTGTGACTAAAGACACAGAATGAAAATAAATCCAGCAACTTAGGCTAGGAAAGTTGTCCGAATGATTTTGTTTCCTGTAAAAGAATTACCATAATTATTTCATAGTCTGCATAGACAGCTGAATTCTGCTACAGCCAAGGGGTGGCAAGATAACTTTTATTAAGCTACTGTGGCAGTACAGCCCCTTTGACTCACAGTCCTTTTCAGGTGTATGTATAGTATCTGAAGACTTACAATTCTGAACTGTGCATCTACATCTCCACCAGAAAGAACATGTCCTATGTAGCAGAAGTAGAAGCCTATTAGGTTGGCTCCTCAGATACCTTAGTTTGCAGCCAAGCAGCTCATCCTACAATGTGTTGATGGTGGTTGTGTGACAACATTATGCTGTAAATACCATCAGGTATTTACATCATTGTCCATCCTGTGCTATGGGTACCACAGCCTCATGCAGAAGGGGCCAAAGAAAACTGCACGAGGGTGGTTATCTTCTCAGCCAGCAGCACTGTCACAGGGACCTTAGATCAGCTGCTTCATTTCTGGTTTAGGCATATTAACACAACACAGACCTTTCGAATTAAAATGATGTAATTTTTTTGCAGCCTCTGTAATACCTACTGCTAGAATTTCTGTGTGTAGCACTGTAATTCTGGAACACCACAACAAGGTCACAATTACATGAATAATTTTGTGAGTGGGGTTCAGGAAATCCCTCTGTCATAAATTTGCTATATACTCTGTGAACAATTTCAGTTAAGAGTAACTCATGTCCTATGACACCAAATATCTGGGGAAGACATATAAACACAGTGGGCAATTACAGAATAAAGAAATGTAGAGAAAGCTACTATAGCATCAGAAACAATGAAGTCTTCAGGTGTACAGCTCTGTGATTGTAAACTAGAAACAACTAAGCTTTTAGGGATATAACTGCTTTAGGAGAAAACATGCCTCCAAGAGAAAAGCTATGAAGGAAAGACAACTTTCTGTATTCTTCCTGAACTGAACAGAATCCCTGATATGATTTACAAGTTTAGCTTGTACATACCCTACCTGAGAAACAACTCATCTTTTGAGTAACTCCTGAAAAGGCAAAGCATATGGGCAGGGGGAAAAACCTCACACCAGTTTAAAGAATCTAACAAACTCATAGATTCCGGTCAGCTGCACACAGTTCCAGAACACTAGCCACTGCTAATGCAGATGAAGTTTGAAAGAATGCAAGCAGCTGCCTCAGAATTAATTAATCCCAGTGCTAAACATGGTCTACCTTGGCCTCCAATCGGGAGGCCTGGAGAGACACCGTCTATAACGCTGCTGCTGCTTTTGAGAACACACACAGGATCACTCTCGAGGAGAAAAGACAACGCAGAAAGAATCACGTCTGGTCGATATCACCTGGGGAGTCTTTCTGCTGTGCCTTCTGCAACCGGACTTGTCTATCTCACATTGGCCTTTCTAGCCATCAGCGCGCTTGTAGCAAGCGTGGGTAGAGCCCTTTCAAATCTTCGTTCGCGAAGCCTAGCCATGATGATGATGATGATTATGATGATGATGATGATGAAACATACAGCCCTCTATTTTCCCACCTCCCATTTGCTACTGAAGGTAGAGTTGGAGGGTCTGAAGGATTTGAGAGGCAATCTTTTTCTACTACTTCTATGGGACTTAAGCCCCACTGCTCTGAACCATTCCAACATTTAAATAAAAGGAAATTGGGGAAATATTTTCCTGCTTTTAAAAATTAAATAATGTTTCTTTCTTCTTTTGTGGAAAAGGTTGGTACATTGCAGATACATCAAATGTACTAGCACAGGACTGTTTTTCTAAAAAAAGCTTTGAATGCTTACAAAAGGCAAGATTCATAACCCTCATTAATTTCTCAAAATCCCACATCTAAGCATCTTGACATAGGTTTCTAAAACACACATAAGCACCTCAGTGACAGATGTGACTTTTAGATAGAGTTGCCCATGTGCATCAGTGGATACTGCTGAAATGCTTCTTTGAAAACTCGACCTATTCAACACGGGCTTACAAGGTTATCTGGGTTTAGAATTCCCAAAATACTGGGTATTCAAAAATAATGGTCTATTTTTTAAAATGTGAGCCTTTTAAATATATCCATTTGTCTACAGAGAGGCAAGATTTTGAAATATGCACAACTCATTTTTTAGAAGGTTTGTGACAAAAGCTGTGATGTGTAGAGTAAAAATAAACCTGAATTTCAATTCTCCTCTCTTGATATTACTATGGAGACACCGGGCTGGAGGTTAAAATTCCAATCCTTTTAAAACTGTTGTTCAAGCTCCAGTGTTTTATTCCTGAAAAATTCTTAGTTATTTATGACATTTTTATTTCATTTAAGATGTTAACATAACCTTCTGCCTGGAAATGCTTACCTTTTCATTAAGAAATTAATTAAAAATGGAATTATAGTTTCAATTTCAGCATATAGTTTCAATTTCAGCATTATTTTCTTTTTAAAGAAATGGTTTTATCATATCTAAACTTTGGTTGTACTTATTTTTTGGGCCAGACAGCTTTCTCTGTCAGAGCTACTAAAATAGAATATGCCTAGCATCATTTTCATTAGTCTGAATTTAATAATCAAAACCTTTAGAGTACAAGAGATTATCAACTGATATGCAGTCAACACAAAAATTCCAACAATACAGCTTCTTCCTGATGTAGATATAAAGGCATAGCCAAATATAGGAGGTATTTGATATCCTCCTGCCAAAATTTAGGCTTCTATAACCACTCCTTGAAAATCATTACAAAATGGTACAGGTTAAAACCTCGCTTGGCTCCTTTAT